TATATGCTTGTGGTCACCCGAGGTGATAAACTTCGGAAGCTGCTACTCGAGCATGGAAATTTCGATAAGGTTGAGGTTGAGGTTACCAAATGGATGAAGCGGAGCTTGGATGTAGGCAAGAAGGGCATGTGGTGTACGCGTACTTACCTCATCAACCAGCACCACTGGACCAAGCACAGTTCTCAGCTGCACCGCACTTTGTAGACCAATCAAAATCAACCTTATACAAATATATTTATAAATTATATATATATTTTTTTGATGGACCCTAACTAAAGCAAATGTGCGACCACGCCTTCCAATGGGGGCGTGAGCGGGGGAAAGTAAGAGTAAACCCCATCCACGGAGAAGAGGAGGTCTTGATCGTGCTTGAGGATTACTTCTCCCACACAGAACAAAATGGTCATACGCAAGCGCAGTCCGCAACCTTTCACCTCGATGACTTTTGGTGGCATACAAATAGAAAACCTTGAGTTTTTGGTTATAATACGCTCGATATATATATATATATCGTTGACGCTCCGTCCCGCGCGCCTAGGACCCGGATGGCCACCTCCTCAACAGCGAAGAGGTGCCGACCAAATTGCAGGGGCTTGTACCAAGCCTGGAAGGAGAGAACCCGGAGCCAACGGCCGTCCCGGGTTCTTTCAGGTTCCTGCCCCAGCGCACTTTCGATCCCACCAAGTTTTCTTTGAGTGTTGGCTTGTTTGGCAGGACCATTAGACCATGACCTATATAGAGTTGCTGCTATTTAGGCTGGTGTTCCCGACGATCCAGCAGAATACGAGCATTCTGGCAGTTCTTCCTTCTTGGTTGGAAACCCTTGGTCGAAAGATTGATTCTGCTGAGTCTGAGAAGGCTGGGTGTCCTTTTTTACATGTAGAAAGTTGTTTGACCAATATATTGCTATAATATATAACCGGCTTGCCAATTTGGAGCAAGGCGAAATTACTGGCGAAGAAGAACGACCGTGCAACCTTGAGCCTGAGTTTATTTGAAAACACATGCATGAACGTTTTCGTGTATGAAAGACATGCGTGATGTTCTATAGTTGGAGCTTAGAATGATACCGTGCATCCCAGGGCTGCCACACAAATTGGAAATCTTCTGAAGAGCCTCAATGATGGATATGAAGGATTGAGCAAATTGCAAGCTGATGCCGCCGTCGGAAAGCCTACGCCTCATTTTTATAAGTCGAAATGTTTCGACTTAATTTCAACAGGAAAATTCTTTTTGTCACGCCCGAGGCTTGATGAGGCAGCGGTCAAGGCAAAGACCGTAGAGATCACCAAATTGGATGTGGCCTTAAACAATGCTATCGTCCGGGCCAAGACTCCAGTTTGCACATGACCCCCTCAACTTGAATGCACAGTTGATAGGTACTGTACTGCCCTTCCCTGTATGCGGCCCCCCCTGCTCTGAGGAACCTGAAGACGGTTCCCAAGATTCCTGACTCGAAGGGCTTGAAGGGTTCCAAGCCGCCTGGGGCAAGCGCGGGAAAAGCTAAGGCCAAGGGAAAAGCCAAGGCCAAGGCTACTACCAGAAAGAGGAAGGTCGCCGAACCTTCAGAGTAGATCTTTGACCCAGCTAGCATTTTGTTTCTGGGCTTCGTATGACCATGTGACCACGCCGTGATAGGGGAATGTTGCGACGTGGGTTTGCGCAAGTCGGCAAAAATCGCCAGCCGCTGTGCTTTTTTGTTTGGCAACCGTCGAGACTTGCAAACATGCCCCTTCACTCGCCTTCACTATCTGCCCACGGCCCACGATCCACCCACAACTGCACGACGCAGGTGCCTTGAAAGAGCCGAAGAACACTCCAGGTTCTGGCCTGAGCGGATTGCCATGTCACTAAGGAAAGCTGCATGTAATTGGATGTAGACTCCGGTCAGGTGATGAATCTGATAGATCTTCAGACACCCCGTCTGACCTAGCTGATGAGCTTTTCACCGGCTTTGAAGATGGAGCAACTCTGCTACACTTCGCTAGGTGTGCGTGCAATCCCGCAGTTTACATCATATAAAGGAATATATATATATATACACGTATAGCTATTCGTTCAATGTACCATGACTTGCATTAGTTTTCTTAGGCAGAGTCTGCCTACAGGGTGGTCAGACTTGCGCGAGTGGCAAACAAAAGAATGCACAGTTTAGGCGGCTTGGATTTTGTATACTTATACGCTCAATGTTTTTTAGGGGCTTGTGCCTGTTCAACAAAAATGATTGTGCATCCGCTTGCGCTGGCCTAGGTGTCTCTGATCCCAAGCTTGCTGCCATTGGTCGTGCCGGTCGTTCTTCGAAACCAAGTGGCTGCAAACACATATGCAGGAACTTTCACAAATACCTTGAGAGAGAGAAGCGCCTTTTGCAAGTGAACGTGAGAATGGTGAAGTTGAGGGTCCGTGTGCATCGGCCTCGTGTTGAAGAGCTTGATCTAGATTACCCTTTCATCGGCTTAGAGGACTGGGCAAAGTTCCTGTTGGAACACCACCCCAAGTTTCTTCTTGGAGGTTGGGACATCACAGAAAAGGATGACTACACTGAGATGTTTGCCCGTTTCTGGGAAAGGTACAAAGCCCTGGACGAGCACCACCCGATATTTTCCAGTTTCAGCGACTTCTCGCATTGCATACCGTACTGTGTGCATGGAGATGAAGGCAGGGGAAAATCCAAGACCCCAGTGCTTATCACGAGCTACCAAATGCTGATCGGATATAACGGCGAACAAGCAACAAACATGAATGGGCGCCTTGACTTGATCTGTTAAGTTTGATATACCATGCAAGCATTCTTTCAAGCTCGCACTTGTTCTACGTACTCAAGTGCATGTGTTTAATCTTCTACGCCCATCCGCTGTGAGGCACTCCTTTGGAACAAGATGGTTGTCATCCATGATGCCGTCCAAGAACTATGCCACCAACGACCAGACTATGGACGGCATTTCAAATCACATGCTCTTGGATCTGTCGAAGGTTTTTCACCAGGGTGTGACTGTGGCTAGTTTGCAATATCAGTTACCATGTTGCCCTAGGTCTTTCAGCCGATTTGAGCGCTGTGCATGTCCTATCAAGGTGGGCAACGACGACCTGGGCAAGGAGACGTTCTACTTTGTGTATGTGGCCTTAAAGGGCGACTGGCCTTACATTCGTAAGGCTTTGAACCTGAATACAGGGTTCACATCAACCCGCATTTGCCACCACTGCAGCACCCTAGATCCATAGTCGCACATTATATAATGGAGTCTTAATTTTTTGTAGACTTCTCAGTTTGCAAGTTTGCCTCGTGTTTTTTCCAAGCTTTCATTCACTTGTGTGTGGCGGAGGATTGGTGGCGCCTGGGGAGGAGAGGATGTCTTCAAGCCTGGCCTGGACACGATGGAGAGCCACTTCCTTGGAAGGCCAAACGTTCCGTGCTACTTCAAGTTCCGGGTGCTGACCACCCGTCCAGGATACGGACAGATTTGGCCCACACTTGGGGGATCGGTGTGGGCAAGGAGTTTTGTGCAAGCGCGTTGCTAACCATTAGTGATCTTGGACTTGTGGGTGGCAACAGTTTAGAAGGAGATCTGGCAAGCATGTACCAAGAATTCCGGCTTTACTGCTACAACTCGAAGCAAACTTGCAAAATCAACGAGTTCTCCAAAAGGGCAGTGAAGATTGCAGCGTGCCTTGGATCAGTTAAGCTTGCCTTGTGTAATCTTCCATGGTTCCATTTTGTCATTGTTGCCTTGTCGGACTTTGACTTGAAAAGGGTAGATTTTGCCCAGGCGAAACCAGTATCCAAAGTTGCAAGGGCAGGGCCACGACTGCTTGGTTGTCAACAAGTGGCTGGATGTCTACCTTCAGAGATTCACTGACAGTGATGTTGTTTCCTGGCATGCACACACAGCAATGGACCGGCTGAAAGCAAATAAAACAATGTACGGAGGTTGCTTCTACTTCTAAGGGCATGTGTTATCGGCTTGTTTGAGGCTCCAGGCGACAAGGACCTGTTCAACATCCTGAAGTTCACTGCTCAAACCAGCAACTGCTTCTTTCGAGGTCTGTACCAGCACGGGACATGGATTCACAGGGATGATGTAGCTGCACTCGTTCCTCTCGCGTGGGGGGTGACGGAACTTTGACTGAGTGCTAGATGTACTTGTTTGCAGCATGTGCTAATGACATGCAAAGTGCTTGCGTGCGCTGTCAATGTAACACGTTTGCTGAGGAAGGGTACAGTGCGCTAGCACGGATTTCCACAGACAGGCGGCTGAAACTCTTCCGGATCAAACCCTACCTCCACATGTTCGATCATATCACGCACATAGCTCAGACTTGCGCGACTTAAGTGTGCCATCACAACCATGCCTTCTTCTAGCAAGGCAAGAACTTCAAGCACATATTGCTCGTGGAGCTTTGTGGGTGATCAACCCACTTTGCCCTTGAGCTGAATTATTGGAAATGCGTATGCAAATGTATGCAAGCATTTTTACACAGACTTGTGTTTGAGTCATGAGTGTGTTGCTGGGTGAATATGCGAGATCTCAGGCTACTCCTGTTGGATGTGTGAGGATTTTATTGGAAAGGTTGCACGCATAAGCCGGAGAACGCACACGCTGACTACATGCATTCGGTCTTTTGCCCGTGCGTTGATGAAGTACAAACGGCTTCTAGCCCGTCTCTGAGTGAAAAAAAGGTGTCTGAGCTTCCCGACATAGGTTGATCCAGCCACCACATAGTCAGGTGCGCGCTGGGTGATGTGAGGGTTGGTGGGCATGAGTGGAGGGAAACCCACCTACTACAAACATGCAAAAGCAAACGTCCTGATTTTGATAATTCGAGCACTTTTTGTTGCAAACGTTACTTAAAAAGCTCGTAGCACAAATTTAAGCTACGTTGGGTGGACCTGGTTTTTGCAGACCTTTGGGGCCTCACGACTGAACCTCGCACTGCCCAACAATCACCTAAGAGATGCATTGTTGGATGAAAGAAAGCGGGTGCGTAACCAGTGCCTTCAGGTAGCTTCAGTGGCTTGATGATGACGGCTGTGGCCTTTCCCAACTCCTTCTCCGTGCCGTTGACCTTGCTCTTGGCCATCGACCCCACTCGCTTGGGCCAGGCGCGCTCGGGTGACCGGCGGGGGAACAAACAGAGGATCAAGGCTTTCGGGTTCCAACGTTCGTTGCGTCCTTGCTGCTCCGTTCGTAGCGATGCCCTTTGCTCCTAGTAGCGTCCCTTTCGATGGTTGAATGTGGGGACAAATGGTGGGAAAGTACATGACATGAAGAACTGAAGAACTGATGACTCGCGGATTGATTCAGCAGCCTGCTAAGAAAATGCACTCGCTGGTTCGAAAAACCAGGTTCTACCTTTTGTTAGTACTTCCATGCTAACCGAGTCAAGCCTGCTAACCTGAATCGTCAGAGTTGGCTGTGACCGATCGAGCTGCTTCACCGGAGTTCTCCGTTCGTTTTCCTTCGCCAGGCAGAGGGAGCAGCCACTTGACCCAAACTCGATGAGGGAATGGATGAAGAGCTGGAGTGCGGTGACGGATAAAGTCCTATTCCCTGTAAGCAGGCGATTAAATTACTATTTTTGAGATGTCAGCGTTGGCCTGCGGCCTGCAACCTAACCATCATCATTCACTGCAAGGGGTGTGCTGATAGATTAGGCTGGACCTCCGATGAGAAAGGGCTTCCCCACCGACGAGACTGAACGTGTTTTCCCTTAATTCCCGGGCCTTTGCGAAACAGAGGACGCCCACCGTCCAGTTCAAAGCAGTTCCAGGTGTTGGTACTGAAGAGGTGAGTCATTTACAAGCGTGAGCCAGCTGCCAGTCATTTTAGTCCTAGTATCTACAATCTACAGTTAATCTCCTAGCTAGTTGTGAAAGGATTGGACGGGATTTTGGTGGAGCAGACGGGACATCAGATCGTCAGCCCACACATCCACACATCTTCCTGATGGATGGCCTGAAGCAGCAGCAAGGGTAGCCTTCCTGATGGCCAACTGACCACGGACACGATGAAAAACCAGCCATGTTAACACAGCAGGAATCAACGTCATTGTCTAAAGACCGGGGTTATTTAGCTCACAACATGTTGTTTTTATATAGCATTTTTTAGTCCAACATGTTGTGCTGGATCTCACCGAAAGCTCTCACTGTGTATGGGGTTCACTGTTCTATTTTATGACCGGCTTCAGTGAGACCCGGCATCAGTTCACCTGGTGATAGTCCGACGCAGTGCGTTAGATTAGACACTGGCTTCTTCACACACGACATCACCCGATGGAGAAATGTTTGATGTAGGCTAGCATTTTTCATGTGCACAGATGTATATCTAACCTCCCCACACCAACCTGGAAGTGCAACAATGCTTTTTGGAAGCCTAGTTTCTTTCGTCCGATGTAGTAGATTGGACTATGGCAAGCTGGATTTGATTGAGGATGTTGCTTCAGCTGGCTGAGAAGTCAACAGATCAATTCGACAACCGCCGGACTGAACACTTGTTTCAACTTGAATGCAATAATATATATCTATATATATATACAGTGCGTGAAAGTGGAGCTGAACATAGAATCTCCCAACTCCAAGCTGCTAAAATCGAAGCAGTTGATCCATTTTGCCACCCAAATTGAGTTGTAGTCGAAGCTGTTCTACAAAAAAAGACGACCGAGGACTTGGAGGCGCGCATTTCCATGCTCTTCTTGGCCAGCTACCCTTTCTGGGTGGTGGCGCGCTGGGGTATTGGTTTTCCAGTCCTCTCAGGCCGCGGGCTCGAGCCGAAGGCGTCAAGCGCTCATGGACGTGTGGCAACATCGAAAAATAAGGTAGACTCTTGATCAAGAACCCCCGCCAATAAAGACTAATTATAGAGAGGTGTTTTCAATCCAAATGGGGAGGGCTTATCAATAAACATGTTCTACATCATTGGTTTGCACACACGTCACTGGCTTGCACGCTGGACTGGTCCAGTTCCCTTGCTACAACCTGGTTCATTGGCTGAGAAGGCGGCGGGGCCAGCGGCGGGGCCTTTGGGGGCTGGCTGATGTCAATTGGTACACTTCCTGGAATCCTCATCGAAGTAGAACGAGACTAGGCCACTGGAAGACCATCTCTTCCGGATACCAAGCGACCAAGCAGGATTTTCCTCGTCCACTTCCATGCTGATTCCGGCGAGTGTATATACAGCATACATAGGGAGACTAGCCCCAAACACTCCGAAATAAGGTGAAAAGGACAAAACAAGACCAACACCATTCCTTGGTTGGGAGTGTTTCTCCATCTTGAGATTTGCATCTCCAGTTTCCAATAGCTATTCGCTGACTCTTGAGACGGGCATGCAGATCTCCATCTGAAGTCGCTAAAGAGCATTTAACTGGCTCACCCCAGCATCACCCAGCACTTGTAAGACTTAAAGGAAGCACACTTGCAGGATCAATCCACGTGCATCCATATGATATATTATACTATATTGTACCATATTATATATATGCAAAAGTATCTAGACTGTAATAACACACTCACATGTGTGTGTGTGTGTATTTTTTGCGTATGTATGTATACCTGTATCAAGACATGCCAAACAATCGATTTGAGACTCTGAATGGTAAATTATTCTCAGCACGCAGGGCTCAAAAGTCTTCAATTGTTCAATTTGGGGTCTCTCTCTAAGACGCTATAAAGCTCACTCCAGTCAGTCAGTGGAAGTGTCAGGTCCTGCGTTTCCCGCAGGTGCCTGGTCGTTCGAACAGTGGCAGCAGAAAGTGCTCAACCCTCCAGTGAAGGCATCGGAGCCAAACTTGTGCGGAAAGCGCGGGGGAAAAGCGGGAAAGGTTGCAAAACATGCAAGTTTTGTTTGTGTTTGTCATTCTGGTGCGTTTTTGTGAGCATTGAACATATACATACCATATCAAACATATTTGCATACAGTACATGTATAATGTATATAGAGTCGTATGCGTATGCGCATTGTCTATGAGATCCTCTATTTGGGAAAGCCTTGGGTGTTTTAAACACTGTGCCCGGCTGTCTTTTTGGCGCTGGGGAACCCTTTGCAAACTGTACTGAAGTCGTGCTCTAAAAGACATGAAAGCAAGCAGGCCTCAAAAGCCACTCGTCACAGCTCTAGCGTTTCCGACACACATGTACAATGATATGATTGCCTGATTAGCCCTTCGTTCAGACCTTGGCTGGAAATAGCTTTTGCCTCACCAAATTGAATGGAACAACCTCGAACCATTGGTTTTAGTTTGTTTCATTTGTTTTCCATCTCTTCATGGGAGCCTTTTAGGTCCCATCTAACATCGCAAGTCAGCGGCCTACATGGACAGAAATTGGCCCAGGCCTGTTTATTGTCCTTGCCAGCTGCCTTTGCTGCTTGACACAGCGGACTCACTGGGGTGAAGGGCGAAGGGCGAAGATGTACTTGGGAAGTAGGGGAAGTAGGTTGCCAAAAGGCTTGTGTCCTGTGCAATCCAAGTCTCAACCTCCATCAAACAGTTTTAGTATGTTTTAGTCTTATCTCATATCTCATTTCATGTTGTAGTTGCAAACTGAGCGCGAGAGAGAGAGAGAGAGAGAGATGGAAAGCCAGAGTGATCTTCAGCTTTGGCTTGTGAAGCTTGGTGACGACCGGTGACGGGTGTCGTGCATCAACTGATATACAATATATGCATACATATATATATATATATATGTTAAACCACCAGTGACTGGGTCCTTTTGGACAGAGGCTGAGTTGGGTGTGACTTGTATTTGCCCCGGCCCCAGCAAGTGGTCATGGTGTAGGGTTTAGGGTTTAGGGCCGCCACCCTAGTTGTAGTTGGATGGTGACTTGTCAGTAGGCTTTTCATCCCTGTTTCTGACCACTTGGCAACTCTTCATCCAAGTAGTATATAAGCATCATATCACACAATATCATATAACAATAAATATGTTATATTGTTGTATATACTTATATTATATTGTAGTCGTACACTGGAAACTGCCTGCGAGACTGACTCACTGACAGACCGATAGACCTCCCGCCTTTTCGTGGTCCTCAAGTCACTGGGCAGAACGTAGTAGCATCAGGTCTGCCAGCAACGAAGTGCCTTGGAGAGCTGCTTGGAATGAGGTGGACTTCCCCACGCGAGGGAAGGGAAAGGTAAATTAACATCGGTAGACCACGTGCAACATGGGGAAAGGAGGTGCTTGGTCTAAATCCAACAAGAGAATCCGAGAGAGAGAGAGAGCGAGAGAGAGAGAGAGAGAGAGTGCACGATTTCCATCACAGTTGAATTTGTTTTGGTTTTTTTCTGCAACACTTCCGCAAAGCAAGATGCCTCTTTAATATGCAATCAGAATGTTTGTCTCCTGGTTACGCATGCATGAACACACATGTCAGCATGCACCCCCGAACACCCCACACGAAGTCGGGAAAGAATGATCACCAAGTTGCACCAAAATATGACACGATATGGCACGTGTTCAACCTCTCCCCAGGGCACGGCTTTGAAGCCTGACCCAACATATAAAGGCCCAGAAAGGCCATACACGGGGCGTTGGCCCGCAATGGATGTATTTTTTAAAGAGGAGACTGAGAAGATGATGATGAGGTTTCGTGAATTTCCGGTGGATGTTCAAAGCACAGGGATGTTTTTTTGCCTGTTGGGTCGCTGAGCATCCGTGGGACCAGATGTGGAGCACCATTAGGTGCTTAAGAGCTAAGGAGCCGGCGGCTCTGCATCTTCCCCCTTTTGGACAGGGCTACAGGGTGTCCTCCAACCACTATAGCCTAAACTGTAGAGTTCGAGATGTTCGAGTCTATTACAGCTCAAGAGTTCGATGATCAACGATCATGTCATTGCGGGTCCTGGTGGTCCGAGTTGTGGGTCCTCACCACCCAGGTTTCGGCTTGACCTTTGCGGCCCTTGAGCCTGCCAGCTCCTCAGCCGGGCCATGGGGCGGCCCACCGGGGCGGGCCACGGGGCGGGCCAGCAGGAATTCAGAATCCTAAGGAGCATCCACTCGTTATTGGGGGTGACTTGAGGCTCCTTAGGTGGTGCGGGATTGATTCTAAGAAGTAGAGCAACATGTGCACAAACATATATATATATATTATACACAAACCGTTTGGCCGTCGCACGAATTCTCAACCCGAAACTCGCAGTTTTCACGAGCCACGCGCGCAACTTTGGCACATGCGTGACCATTGCACAACAAGTTTATTGTCCCAGCATTCTCCCCTATAGGTCTCCTTGATCCTTTTTCTGGACTTACCTTTCGCAGTTGATGACTTGTGAAATCTTGTGGGGTCACTTGCTGTCGGTGTGAGATGATATAAGGTTGTGGTAAGTTATATAAGGGTTGTAAGCTGTTGTACGTCACTTGCTGGTTGATGACGTAGTCATGCAAGTCCTTGTTTAATGCTCAAATCGAATCCATCCTCATCCATCGATGAGACGTGGAAGAAACCACCCAAAGTGACCGGTTTACACGGCCCAGAAATGCCAAACACCAGCTGAATCTCAGACATCTTCCCTTCACATCTCGATCACGCGATCCCTTTCAAACATGGCCATCATCATAAATCATCATAATCTGATCTTTCCAAAAATCATAGCCAAAAATCTCATCAAATCTGTCATCTCTTTGAACATGCCATCTCTGTGAATCTCTTTCAACCATTTTCAACCCCAAGCTCGTCTCGTTCTCGGTGACATCCACCCGGTGACCTCGCCACACCCTCGCTCCGAGGCGATCACCGCCGTGGACTACGCCGGGCGCTGCTCCGTGCCGCTGCTCCTGGCGGCGCTGGGCGCCAAGGCGGTGGCGAACGGGGCGAACTGCGGGGCCGGGGGTGGGGTTCTTTGGGAATGGGAAACCATTAAATGGAACCATGTTTGTTTCATGATGATGTTTTTCCCCATGTTCTTTTGGGATGATGAGTTAGAACCAACACGGGGGATTGTAGGGAGTAATTAAGTCAGTGCTGAGGCTGGTATTTGTTGGATCTTGTTTGTGTTCTTTTGGTTGAACATGTTATGTTGAACGTTCTAAGACTTGTGGCAGTGATTTTACATTGATCTGCGAATCGCAAGTCTCGAGATGAGAGTAATTGGTATATACCCCATTATGCCCCTTCAGTCATTCGTTTCGGAAGACTCAGCAGTAGGGGACTGATCAAGTGGTCCAAAATCAAACGAACAACACCACGAACTCCCACCCGTGACGTTTGCGTCCCTGGCCGGTTCCGCGGGGGAACGCCGCGCAGGTGGATGGTATTTGGAGTGACCTCCGGGCCGAGGGTGCAGGACGCGCCCGGACTCACAAGAGGGAAGAGGGAATGGTCGGAAGAGGGAAGAGGATGGAAGAGGCAAGGGCTGGAACAGAAGAACATGCGAGAACTGCGTTGTACTGCCGTGCAGTGCGGCATTTCAAGACTGCCATGATCTTCCAAAATGCCTCCTGTGATCGCTGGGAGGACCCAAGGAAGCAAAGCTGCCGACATATCAGACGCTGCTCATTCCTCCGTTCCTTGGTTTCATGCAGTAGAGCTGAGCTGGGGAGGCCGGGGATTTCAGAGCCTTTCAGTCTTCATTATATAATTCTACACACGGTGGTTCAATTGCATTTCTTTTTGTTCGGTATGGTCGTATGGCTCAAACATAGGGCATACATAGGAGCATACTGCACCATCCGACCTCCCGGGGAAAGGGACATGGCGGCGGGTCCGGATTTTCTGAGCCACGTGCAGATGGCTGACCGATGAGATGCTTCGAACGATTCCAGCAGATGGCAGCGTTTTTTCGACACAGAAGGGTTTTCCTAGCTGTTGCAAATTTGGGTTCAGTAGGGATTTCCATGGATTTCCCGGTTGTCCGGCTTGAACGACGACGAGAACATTTGGAATCCATGCCAGACGCGATGAACGATTTCGCAGCGAGGACGATAGTGTGTTGGACTTCGCTTCACGCAACCCCTTTGACATTCAGTACCTGTTACTCATTCCAACGTTCAAAGTGTTTGCTACTAGGTCTTCAGTGAAAAAGAGGGAGAGAGAGAGAGAGAGAGATTGGGGAGAGTTGCTTTGCAAGTCTGAAATGCAAAAGAGATATCGAGATAGACCGATCAGGCCCTGCCAGATATCGATCGATCATGATCTCAAGAATTGAAGGATCCATCTCTTAGCAGCTTTCATGGCCGAAGATCATGGCCGAACTTCCTCCCAACAGCTTGGACTTCTACCCCGCATCGCCCCGCATCGCACCCCGCATCGCCACGCCATGCTCAGGCCAGCGCCGGGGAGCACCGCGCCAGGTCAGCTGTCCGCTGATGGGAGTCCTGTGTAGGATCAACTTCGGTCAGTCATGGCCAGTGTGTTCGAAGGGTCCCAGACCAAGGGTCAAAACCTCTTAACACTCTGAACTTAACCATGAATTAGTCACAAATGGCAAGTTTTTTAGTCACTAAGTGCCTGGAATGGGCGCCCGATCCTCCAATAGGCATCCCTTTGGAACTACTGGAGCATGCTTTTTGCACTTCTTGGGTCCTTGTTTTGGGAGGCCTTTGAACTCCCTACCAGTGGTTCCAAGCAAGCAGTAGCCATACGAAGCACTGCCAGCGGAGGGGCTATACTATATATAATTAAGCTCTCCATTGTCGGATAGTATGTCGGATGCGTTTGGGGATTCCGGCAGTCCAGTGAGTGGTGAGTGTTGCAGGGTTCCGGTGTTTTCTTAAAAGACCTACTTCTTACCCCCACAAAGCGTTGGGACAGCGACTTCAGCCACAGGTATCCAATTTCAGGATTTGGTTTTAGGCTTCCAGTTTTCCTGATCACTGTTGTGTTTGCCGTATATGTTTGTCAAAAGTCATTGCGAGGTGGGCTTTGGCAGGGGTTCAGATGAATTTCAAGATATTTCAAGCCAGTGTCACCACCGTGATTAATTCTTTGCATTTTGACTTTCCAGTGCCAGATATACATTGTGACATATTGTAACAATTGTTCCTAAGGCACATGTTGGATTTTTGGGGCTACGCGGGTCACGTGCTGAAAAAACCTAGGGGTGAGCTACATCTCCTGGTTAGGGCTCGTGTTAACTAGTGCCGTTGTTTGGGGATTCGGCTTGCGCTTTTCCGCATTTGGGGTGGAGTGGTTTGGGGTTTGGTTGTGTTGGCTTGTTCAGGGTTTGGTTTTGGTTGGCTTGGCTGGCTTGCCTTTGGATTGGCCTTGGGATGCTTTGGGTGGTTTGTGGTTGGTTTGGCTTGTTTGAGATTAGGGTTTGGTTGTTTTGGCTGGTTTGTGCTTGGATTGTCTAGAGTCTAGGGTTTGGTGTGTTTTGTTTGGCTTGGCTGTGGTTATGTAGTTTATGGAGGGTTTGGTTTGGCTGGATGGGATTTGGCTTGTAGTTTACGCATGGTTTGGCTGGCTTGGCTACGAATGTTTGGCACTTGGCTGTTTTGGTTTCTGGCATTTTTTGATTTCCATTTTCTGAATTTTGGTTTAAGTGTTGGTAGTTACTCTGGTGTCCTCCCCGCGTCAACCCTCCTCCTCTTTTTCTCCTTTTCGGGCTTCCGTGTCGGGGTGTCGTTTTGACATGTTTGGCGCTTGACATGTGTGATATACTGTGATATACTCGTATCCTCCATTTGTGTGTTTTTACCTGGAGCTTGGTTTTCAGGGGACCCCCTGAGCAAATCTCCTTCTTTAGGATTCGGCATCTCGGGTCTTCGCTTACTCCCGCTTCTCCCCTCTCGGGAGTCCCGCCGGTCCGCCCTCCGGGGGTCCCAATCGGCTCTCTTTTGCTGCAGGATTTAGTCTTCCCGACCTTGGAGCTTGACATGCCTGATGTTCAATGCGCACATAGGATTGCCAACCCCCATTAATCAAGGCCAGCTAGAGCCTCCAATACTAAACTAAATAAAACCCTGCAACCTCCCCTTATAAGTTTTGCTCCTTGCCAGAACCCCCCCTATTAATCAAGCCCAGCTGCCCCAGAAAAAAAAAAAACTATAATAGTTTACTATTGTATCTATACTTATTCATTATGTACTTTATTTTTTGCTAGTATTCAATATCTTTTGGTCCATGGTGAAACTGATCTTCATTCCCATCCGTCATTATATATATCATCATCATCCTCCTTCTGCTTCTCATCCTGCTTTTTCTTCTCATCCTTCCCTGTTAAGAATAATTATCCCGGCAAGAGACCCCAAACAGTGTGGAGTGTATATCATATGCACTTGTAGGTTGTAGGTCAAGGGATGCGTGCCAGGGGAGCGGAAGTAGGGGAGAGTAGCACCAGCGAGAACGAAGCAGTGACGCAAAATGGCTATATAGCCAAAGATTGCAATTTAAAACAGTATATGAGTGAGAGTGGAGAGGGAGTGAGTGTAAGTGTGAGTGCGAGGGAGAGTGAGTATGGGTGAGAGTGGGTGAGGGCGAGAGTGAGAGAGTGTCAGTGTGAGAGAGCCGCACCCGCGAGCACCAAGTAGTAAGAAGTAGAAGGTGAGATCTGAACCCCGAGAGGGTAGGAGGAAGTGGTAGCAGGAGGAGGTGAGGCACCCGCACCTGCGAGCACCAAGGAGGACAAAGTAAAAGTACAAGTCTGAAATGTTGAAATGCAGCAGTCGGCAAGCGCACTTTTTTCCGCGTAGGGCATGCTGGACGAAAATGTGCCGCGGAGCCGCAGACAGAGTATAGAAATGCTCGCAGGAGACTGCTAGCATGCAACCTTTTCTGGGTTTGGCTCGGGCACGAAACTGTGTCGCGGAATCGCAGCCAGAGTACGTTGCTATAGGCTAATGTCGCGTAGCCGCAGACGGGAGGAAACTCTGTCACGGAGCCGCAGACAGAGCATGTCGCTGCAGGAAACTGTCGCGTAGCCGCGGGCGAAAAGTGCGTAAGAGCTTGGGACGAGAGTCTGCGCAGTGTCGCGGGTCCGCGGACAATAGGTGCAACCTGCGTGTGCATAGCTATCAAACGGGATGATAGTCTTTAGTGTGAAAGCTTGCAGAGCAATATCCTTTGAAGTGCTCAGGAGACAAGTGTCGCGGAGCCGCGGACAGTCGGTTGCAGTGGCAAGTCGGGCGTGGAATGACAGTCTTTAGTGTGAAAGTTTGTAGCCGCATACCCCACTCCTTGCATGCGACACGGAGGTTGTCCTTCTCATTATGCAGACATCTCAACAAGGTGTGCACTGAAGCGCTGGTAAAATCACATTGGACAAATAGCGAAAACGTTCGCTGCCCGCATCAGGATGTGCAGCTTGCAAAATGCCAAACGTGACGACAGCCATGGCCACTCAAGAACGAAAACCGATGTTCAAAGGTCGGATCACACTGTAACTCTTGATGTGTGTACTACAAGACATGTGGAAGATGAGTGTTTGCTGTTGTGCTGTCAAGTTCCAACTTCTAAACAAGCAAAAGACTGCAAATGAAAAACACAGCAACTGTGACGGAAAAAAGTTTAGAAACCAAGGTTTGCCAAAAGTACTTGGGTGGAACCACGCCAGGTGCGCCGGATAAAAGAATAGCTGGGTGTAACCGTTCCAGATCGCTCTAGAAACAAGAGTCGAAACAAGAGCACACACATGCTGAGCGTGAGCGTGAACGAGAATGAGAAGCCATGTGAGTGAGAGTGAGCGTGGGCGTTGTGAGTGTGAGTGAGAGCGAGAGAGTCAGAGTGAGAGTGAGAGTGGACGTAGTCAGCGCAAGAAGACCAAGGTCTAGATGTCGGGAAGCATTTTAGAGAGCATACACGGGAGAGCAATGAGAATGAGTGTGGTCGTTATGAGTCATGAGTATGACTATGAGTGAGAGCACTAGAGTCTATAGAGTCAAAGTGAGAGTGAGAGTGGGCGCAGTCAGCGTCAGAAGAGCAAGTTCCAGATGTCGGCAAACGCATAGACACGTAGAGCTCGCTCTAGACAGAAATCAAGCTTCACCAAAAGTACCTGGGTGGAACCACGCCAGGTGCACCGGACAAAAGAAAAGCTGGGTGTAACCGCGCCAGATCGCTCTAGAAACAAGAGTCTAAAGAAGAGCACACACATGAAAACAAGCTAAATTTTCAGAGGTCTACAGAAGTCTCCAAAGAGCACACATCTGAGAGCACAGACCAAGTGAAACGAGAGTGAGAAGTGCTGTGCCTGCCACGAAATCTGCTATGAAGTCTGCACTTCGAGGTTCACAAAAAGCGCTGGGCCTGGCAAGAACTCTGCACGTCCAGGTTCACCAAGCGCTGTACTGCCACGAACTCTGCGCATCGAGGTTCACCAAGTGCTGTAACTGCCACGAACTTTGCACCTCGAGGTTCTGCAAGTGCTGTGCCTGCCACGAACTCTGCACTTCGAGGTTCACCAAGTGCTGCACCTGTCAGGAATCTGCATTTCGAGGTTCACCAAGTACTGCACCTGTCACGAAATCTGCGCTTCGAGGTTCTTAAGTGCTGTGCCTGCCACGAAACCTGCACTTTGAGGTTCACCAAGTGCTGCACCTGCCACGAAATCTACACTTCGAGGTTCACAAAGTGCTGCCCCTGCCACGAAATCAGCACTTCGAGGTTCACAAAGTGCTGCACCTGCCACGAAATCTGCACTTCGAGGTTCACCAAGTGCTGTACCTGCCGCGAACTTTGCACGTCGAGGTTCTCCAAGCGCTGTGCCTGCCACGAAGTCTGCACTTCGAGGTTCAAGTGCTGCACCTGCCACGAAATCTGCACCGTGTCACAGAGTGCTGTGCCTGCCACAAAATCTGCAAAAACGAGCCACATGTCCAAAAGTCACAATTCACTGCACCTGTCACGAAATCTGAGCTCCTCGACGATCACCACCATGTCCAAAGTGCAGCACGTGCCACGAATATTGCATTTCGAAGTCAAACACCTCCCATCCCTTGCACCTGTCACGAAAAGTCGACCTTGGAGCACCAAAACACGAGGTTTCCCTTGCGCCTGCCACGAAAAGTGGTCACCATATGCGAAAATGCGCACGGCTCTACAACGAGAGCGCAGTCGTTAGAAGCAATTGAGGGGTTGGTAGGGCCTTTGTGAGGTGGAAAATGACACACATTTGCTAGCACGTTTTCCCCAAACAGTGTGGTCACACTAGGGGTTCTTACGGTAAGGGAAAAGCAGCTGATGCTTAGATCGCTGAAGCGCGCATGTGCAACTACTTCGTTGCTATTTGCAGCACATTCACGCCTCTCGACATCGTCAATGTGCATTTCGACTGCGCAGGCTCGCTGAATCTGGGTGTCCTGTTTGCATTTCGACTGCGCAGGCTCGCTGAATCTGGGTGTCCTGTTCGGGATCCGTTCGGACCGACCAGGCCAGATGGAGGCCGCCGCTCCGATCCAAGTGGAGGAGCAAGGCGCGTCTCCGAAAACGGTATGGAGGGAAGCTGGAGGGCCGCCTGTGTGGCATTGGTGAAGCTGGAGGGCCGCGGGCCTGACAAAGGGCGGAACCAAGGGCACATGAGGAAGAGTAGTCACCCAAAGTCTGCACGTTCCAATAGAACTAGAAGTTTTTTCTTCTGTCGGCTCACAATCGGCAAGAGCGTGCGTTGTGTGCGAGACTCAAAGCAGCCTCTCCCAGCTCTCTTCATTCTCATTTGGTCCCAATTTTTCGGGCCAAGTTCGGCTAAGATTTGTTTGGGAGATACACCACTCCGAACATGTCATTAAGACACCACATGAGGATACGTGAGCTGAGAACGGCGGATACGGCGCCATGAACCTAACGGCGCCATGGTTTCCACTTCCATGTTAGTGACTCGGAGTGTACATGCGCCCAACCAACCAAACCCACTGAATGCATCAAGTGTGTGCTGCAGGTGTGATGCCTTTGCGTGGACACATTGCTGTCCTGGCTCTTCGGATGTGAGTTCGCATGCAGGACATCGAGGGGCGGCCCAAATGGATTTGCAGTTAATTCATAGAGGTAAATGTACACGAGAAGTGGACGGAGACCAACTTGAACAATCTTAAACATGCGTATATTATACATAGTGGCATGGGCGTTTTTGGGGGAAACAACTGCTGATTGTGTACGACAATTGATGCAAATGGGTTAAAGTCCCAGTGAAAATTGGGGCGTTTTTTGAGTCAGCCGGACGTAGATCCAATTTAGAATCAATAATTTGTGTGCTATTTTATATGTCATGTGACATCCAGCAATTTGGAGGGTTGGGGCGGGCTTGCTTACAGAAGGTCCGGGGCCTGGTAAAGAGGGATGATGAGTCCATGTGTGTTATGACTCATCACCCTTAATGAAACCATTCCGTCAGGATGTGGCGCTCTGCGTTGGTGTCTTGTGTGAACGTTGGGTACCGTATACTGCACCATGACCCCAGACTAATCCTGCTGTAACTCTAGCAAGGCAGCAAGGCCTGAAAAGACCTAAAGACTACAAAAGGCTCAGATTTACTTCCAGGCGCATTCAGGTACCCTTGCCAAAGTTGCAGCATCACTATAAAAACAAATCAAAACCAAAACAATTTCCAGCTACAACTTTAACTTTCCAGCTTTGAGGTTGCTTCTGCTAGATAAACGCCTTCGGCCACGACGCTCAGGTCCTCCGGCAACTTTGCGGTGCCCTACTGGGTTTGGCGATAGTGGCTCGGAGGACACGGGAAAGAAGTGGCTGGGCTGTTCAGAACAGTCAGCTGATCGGAGGGTCTCCGGATGGTCTTTGGATGTGGGGTCATGTGTATTGCCATGTGAGGCCCTGATGTAGTGGTGAATTAAAGAGGATGGGAGTGTTCAGAAGTACAGTACGTACTTCTCACGGCCCTGAAGTATGATGTATGTGAGGCCCTGATGTGGTGGTGTCCATGTTTCATCATTTTTCCAAGCGGGAACCTTGCTTCAATTGTCGGGTTCGATTGTCAACCAGTGGTCGCTGTGGGCCTCAGGCATCTTTGTTGCGAACGTTCTGCGGCGTGACTGACCGCGTCTTGCTCATGCCCTTTGGCCGATTGCGTGGGGTGTGTCCAGATGGTTTTGATATGTTTTGATCGTGGTCCCACCAAACTTAGTTATACTCTTTCGTTGGCTTGGCCGGGACCTTGTGAGCGTCCCTGCTGCAGTTGCAAGTCGACATCTAATCCTCATACCTTGCAACTTGCAACAGTGGATCAAAAACTGAGCTCAAATCTCCGCCAAGTGGCAAAGCAGAGCCATGCAGAGCCCAAACCTGGTCGACGCCCTCGTTCAGTGTTTTGAAGGGGTCCGGTCTGTGCCATAGAGACCCACACATGCTGCACCGACCTCCGCGACCGGTGGCGATTTGACCTGCACAAGCTACCAGCCTCCCTGCACAGAGGCGATCACATGCGATAACCATGTGGCTGCAGAAAGGATAACCCTGTTGAATCATGCCCTTTGCTACTGTGGAACTTGGGACATTTTGGAGTGCCCGCACGTAATTAACAAAGAACCTGGCTTGGTATTGCGGAGGACGCGGTGCGTTCCATACTCTCCTGATTCTTCCTGATAGACCTTTGCTGTAGAACCTCCAGCGATTGAAACTATAGGATGTATAGTTGAAATAGGGCCAGACGACAAGAAGGCATCCAGAAAGTCTTTATGTGGTCACAGAGAATGAATATGACCCCTCTGAAATAATCACTTGATTGTATTCGGAGAATGGCCATCCAAGTGGCCATTATTAACTTATGATTGTTCCACGGAATGTAAACCTCCTGCTTTGTCCTGTTATAGCGTCATATATTGCCACTCTCATCAGCATTTCGATAGGCTCAGACCACTTTCTCTTCACCCGCATTGGTAGGGAAATTGGAGAAACCACGGGACCCAATCTTGCATGTGGTTCTTTGGGGGTCAGTTAGGAGGTAGGTCACCTACTACTGCTACTTCTACAACGACGACGACCACGACTACTGCCACTACTACTACCACCTTAAAATCACACCTCGACAGAACCGTTTGAGGACTCTTCTGCTGCAAAGCTGCGGCCCTCCAATGATCAACCTCTCAGTGATGGCGGGCGTGGCTCGGCGTGGCCCTCGTGCGTGCGAAGCGTGCGTGCCCTCGCTCCACGTTGAGCGCAGGAAACAGACGGGGGAACACTTGCCTTCATGGGGCAGGAAGATGGAACGCGGTCGAACATGTTCGTTTCCAGGGTGGCGTCCTGGTACATGCCAAAAACATTCCCGCATGCTATGTAAAAGAATCCTACGATTGACTCCGCAAGGATTGGCTGGTAGACCCTCTTTACCCATCCAAGAGTTACCCAAGCTGTCGAACTTTTGGGGTGGAAGACCGTACTCACGCTGTCACAAAGGTGTGCCTATTGGAGGATAGGGGTGCCCATTATCATCCATGATCCACTCACTGGATGGGACTAAACACCACCCCTTTGTGACTCCTGGTGCGATGTTATACTCAATGATTCTCTTTGCTTGACAGGTCTGTGACGTGGACTCGCTTGAGTGGACGGAATGGATAGGATAGCCATCGACTGATAGCCGTGCCTCTAGGGGGGCACTGATTGGATGGTGGTGCAGCCCAGGCGACTACTCTCTCAATCCGCAGCCCAATGTGAATAGGGAGAGGTACGGCGACTTCAAGCCTTCGGTGGGTGACATAAGCTTGGTGGATTTTGAAGAGTTCCCACTTGAGCCAGGGGCTTCGTTAGACTATTATTTGAAGGCAGTGAGAGCTGAGAGCTGCGGCAAACTCTCCAGCCAAGTGATAGGTTGATCTGGGAAGACAAGACCATCTGTCACCCTACCTTGCTATTAGGTATTCGCCTCAACGTGGTGAACTGGACCATTTGTTCATGTCTTAGACTGTCTTCGACCACAGAAAGCAACTGCGGAAGCGGACCTGCAAAACCCTGCCACATGGGAATCCGCCATCGGCCGGGAAGGGGCATCATTGTGCCTACGTTGACGAAAACGGTTTCCGACGAACGCAAGGAGATAGCCAAGTGGTGAAAGAGAAAGGGGAACTGCACGACGAAAAACGCAGCAAAGGAAAGGGCCAGCCAGACAACCCTCCCAAGAATGCTTCCTTGGTGGACTGGAGGCATTTGAGGCAGTGTGGGTGCTTTTTGCGAATGTGATAATGTGGGCATTAAAGCCACCGGAAGGTGAAGGGGAGATTGTTGAGAAGGTTGCCCAATGCCCGCGGCCCGGGAAATCAATTTGACTGTGCTTGCTTTGAGCTGTTTCTTGAGTATTCTTCAGGAGCTGTACGGGAGTTGACCACTGCCGATATTGAGTTGGAACAAGGCGATGTGGTGAACATGAATTGTTTGAATGTGCTGTCAGTGCTTGTGGTGGGATCTCGTGGGGTCCGGGGTGGGGCGTTCTGGAGGGTCAAGCTGGTGAGTTTATCACTGGAACAGTCGATGCTGCAGAATGCCAGCCACTGGACATGGTTGTCAGATGAGGCTTGCACGATTTTCGCACACGATGGTCTGCAGTTACGCGACAAAAGTTTTACCGTAGCTGCCTCCAATGGAGGAATGACCTTGACACGCATGGAGGTCTTTGCAGGACTTCGGCACAAAAAGAGAGAGGAAATTTGGCCCGGCTTGCAGACATTGAGTGCAACATAGTGCAACCAAGACGACGATGTTTTGAACCTGTGATCGGAGCGGTGTTTGATGGCCTGTGGCTGGGACTGCCATGCACTATGTTCAGTGGCCTTGTGCCAGGGCCTTGCGCAACGGTGGCTTTGCGATGGGACCATCGCACAGTTGAGCCCAGCATACCGGACAGAAGGAACAGGACAAAGAGGACAAACAAGACGAAGCAAAATTCCGTCCAAGAGGTATAGTTATGCTACAGCCTACAACTACAACACAGCACACATCAAAAAATCCAAATCACCCATTAGACATGCCAGCAAGGCCGGCGTATATACTGTATATATATATATAGTAGTATATGTAGTTGTTTTTAGTTATTTTAGTTGTTGGTGTATATTTTTGGCCTGTGCCAAACCAAATGTACAACAACCATGTTGGGAAGAACAACCTTGCTTGCACTTCAGCAGGCGTGGGTTTTTATGTTTTCCCACCTGTCCTAGAGCCAAGCAGGCCCAACATACTAGGAGGATCCGCTGGAAACCTCCGGCACTTAAGGTTAGCGGTTCTGTGCAGAAGGACTCGGCCAAACTCTTGCTGATCACTTACGCAGCTTCTGCGGCTTTGGTTTTGTGCAAAATCGCGGGTTTGTAGCGATCAGTCGGTGGGTGGCGAGGTAAGAAAACGAAAGGGCACTTCACAAAATGGTGGGTGTGCAATGGGTGTCGAGGTTTCTGATCTTGACAGGGTGAGCGAGTGGGCGTGATTCAGAACTGATGGCTGATTTGGGTGGATCCACGATTTTGGGGGCGCTTTGGATGATGTCATGATGTCATTGTCCATCAAGAATGAAAGGCTGAACTCATGATGCCCTCGAAGCCGAGACTCAGATGTTTATGGTCCATATATACACATCACACATTCATAAGAATACATATTTTTCCTATATATGCTTAATGTTCAGATATGCTCAGATATGGTTTGAAGATGAATTTGGCGGATGGGAGGAGGTTGAGATCAGAGACCTGGGGACAATTTTGTGTTGATAAATGTATGTAAATGTATATTTGCACAATGAACATCCCACCCTTGGAAGGCGAGCCGTCATCAAGCCACACTTCTTCCGGGGTGTTCCATGTGTTCGGTATGATGACGAGAGACCAGTCGTGGTTCAGCATCCTGCTGACTTCAGCACCGCGTGAGGTCGTGACTTGGGTGTTGTGGACCATGATTTTCCTGTCCTGGCTTTAGGGGACACAGGAGCCTCAGGAGTTTGCGTTTGCATCCCAAGTGAGATGGGAGCAGACACGTTTCTCAAAGAGGAAACGTAGGTTTGGGTGTACAAACCTGGAAGATTTGCAGGAGAGTGAGTGATGCATTTGGTGCTGCATTTTCCCATAGATTTTCCTGGAGCGTCCATCGGGGTTTTCGATGAGATCGGATGCAGTTGGCGGTGGTGAAAAACCATTACTTGAATAGGTATGTAGAAATGTGTCGGCTAGAAGGCGTGCAATGTGTGCTGTGGTTGCTTGTTGGAGTATCTCACAAGCAGATGGACACTCATCCAACTCAAGCTGTTGCCAGAGCTGCTGGTGACTGCCTTTGGGAGGGTGGAGATCCAAAATTATTCGATAAAAAACCTGACATTTGCGAAGTTGCAGTTCTGCTGATGCGCTTTTGGAGGCAGATTCCACTGATTTGAGCCATGCTGTTCCACCCTAGAGTGCAATTGGCTCTTGTCAAGTTCAGGCAATGGTGGTCCAAATCTTGGCCACTGGGCTAAGAGCTTAAGTGCTCAAAGCCAGCACATCAAGCTACACACTTTTGTGAGGACTCATGGCATGTTTGCCTGAAGGTCCCCTCAAGGATGTGTTCGTGCGAAAGACCCGTTTGGGGTGTCCATCTCGTTGATCGACCGCTAGTCGGCTGGACTTTTGTGGTTTTTCTGGCTATCTTCCTTGAGGAGAGTCAGATTCTCCAGTCTTGCCCAGTACAGCTTGCGGCAAGAGGGGTGTTTGTGAGGCGGGGCCGCACCACAAATCAGCAACGAAAAGGATCGCACTATCGCAGGGTGTGTTGGCTGGGATGCTCCGCTGCGTGACCCTTTTTGGGCCAGAGATCCAGAATCCGTATTCACGAAGGTTGCTTGGGTTTGTTTCTTGTTTGAGGTCGCTTGAAATACTGGAGGTTTGTTTCTTATGGTGCCAGGTGTGCTGAGGACGGTAGAGTTAGCCGCAGTTTGAGTGTCCTATTCCATCCTACACCTGTCACCTGTCCTATCGAAATGGGCCAACAGTTGGCCCTATTGTGTCCTAGAAGATGAGCTTCCAACAGAGGTTGAAGGACCCTATAGACTATCCCATAGGTACCCCAGTAGGGTCCTAGTTCAGGTCACTTAACCTGTCTTGGTTTGGTATGCGGTGGCGCGCGTGTTGGCAACGATTGACCATTCACCCAGGCGCAAGTCACCGTGTCCGTTTGACCCGACTCGGTGCAGACGACGAGTACCGGGGACGTCCAGGTCTTGGGAGTACGTGGTCCAAGGCACGGCCCATTGGGGGGGAACCGGGAACCGCAGAGTGAGGGTCACCAGGCAGTTGCAGGTTGGATCCTACAGGTTTACCAGGTGAATCTTTTGTTCATCAGGATCATGCTGGCTAGGAGTTCTTAAAGATCTGAGGAAAAGACTCAGAGCCTTCAAGGCCAACATCCAGCAACTGGCGCCGAGAGCTCGAGCCAGGCCAATACGACCGCCTGGCTGAGCAGGCAGACTTTGCGCCCAAGCTTGTCTCATGCTTCCCAGAGGAGAGCAGAGGGGCATAAAGGCCCTGAGCCTCATGGCCCCTCGGAGAGAGAAAAGGAGAAAACGCAGAGACCCAATAATCATCCTTCGGAATCATGGTTCCGTAGTGAATGAGGGGACATTTCTGTTTTAACCAGCCGAGTGTCCCTGTGGGACGGCTGATTGACAGCCAGACTCGCCACAGAGAGAGAGAGAGAGAGACGGAGAGGGAATGTGACAGCAACATGTGAGAAACTTCCTGGAAATTCTGTTCCAGTCCTTGAAGATTGAACCAATTCAATGTATATAATATAATGTAATAATATAGCTAGTATATTATAATATCTATATACGATATATACTATATATATATAGACAAGTCAGGTTGATTTGAAAGAACCAGAGCTCGCACCCTTTGGAAGGCCATTTCCTTGTGAACTGGGGACGGAGCTCCACATGCACTCCCAATAGTGTGGTCGCCCTTGACTCGTCGAGAAGCACGTGTTTCTCCGTTCAACTCTCCAGGACGCGGTCGCCTGTGCACGACAACGAGGACCGGGCTCGACGCGGCGTCGCTTTGGAGACACCGACAACGGACCGGGGCACGACGTTCGACGACGTGACCGAGACACCGACGTGAAGGCGATCCCGGCCCCGAGATCGGGGCTGTTGGTGTTGGTGACCAAAAGCAGCGGAGGAGTGTCGAAACGGGCCGAAGCCGGGATGCGGTAGGGTTTCAATATGGCTATGGGCCATGGGTCAAAACCGGGGAAGGCCGGTGACCACCAATCCGAAGTGAACAGAATTTCACTACAAAACAACATGGTCCACTTGCCAGGCTTTAGGGCTCGGTGTTTTGACCCGCATCCAATATGATTGCCTTTGTGTTGCTGCTTTTTTGGGGGGTGTGGTCTCAGCCAGAGCTCCACCAAAAAGTGAGCTTTTGACTGGCCTTCACATGGTGGTTGACCCAGTTCAAAGTATTCAAATTAAAACAAAGTGTGTCCTTTTGAGCTCGTCCGACTTGTTATCCATGAACGCTTCAGAATCTGGTCGTCGCAGAAAACTACCAGTTCGTATGTTCATATTACTAAATATATATATATATTATGTATTGCATATCTTAAGTCAAAGAAGAAGAATACCTGACCAACGTAGTAGATTTTCTTGACCTAGAGAACAACAAATGGGTTCACTTAAGATCCGCCGGACAACTCCTGGCCACGTCTTCCCACGGTGCCTGTGTCATGAGGGGTTGCCTTCGTGTGCACTCGCGGCAGACGAGTGGGGGACACTCAGTTGCCACTGCAAGTGGCTGGCGGCCTGATTTGGATTTTCCAGTCAACTTAAAACGGGTGAGGGGCATGACTGAACACTGAGATGCAGTATGGCCAGAGATGGCCAGAGTATATAGATGTTGCACACAGTTTGACCACCTTAACTTGGGCGTTCCTCCTGTGTCGCTTATCAGGATTGCTTTCAACATGCAACTGGCCTGAAGTGAACCGTAGAGCCAAGGTGAACAGCTGCTAACTGTAGGGGAGCTTATCCATATTGTCACCCGAGGGTCAATTGCACAAGTGGCCGTTGATGTAGGTGGTTTAAGGTTCCACGAAACCGCTGTGGGTCCTGAAACCTGGAAGGGTAGCGCGCCATCCATGCGGATGGCTGAATGGGGAAGTCCACCCTGCAGCATGGACCAAAAGCACTGGGTGGTAGATGAGAATAGCCTTCAGGGGGTCTATAAACTCACGGTCCATGGGATCGCTTGGGTGGGTGCTTCGGCTCACAGGTGCTGTGACAGCTATGCCCACAAACGGTGCCCGCAGCAGCACCGTTTCCATCCTTGCTATCCCCTAGAGTGGAGAACAGATGCTGCTATCGCTATAGCGTGCTGCAGCTTCCCGCTGAAGATGTTCAAATCTCAATTGACTACCCTTGCTTAGACAAGCATGGAAGCCATGGTCTAGTGTGTGTGTGTGTGTGTCCCATGACCTGTACAGTTAATAATGCATTATCACTATGTTTGCGAAAGGCCTTTACTAACCATCATCCACTGGGCCCAGGGGGTGGTGTACACCCAATCTCTCTTCGTTTCTTGGTTCAGTTTGTGAGGGCGGGCGCACCAGTTGCTTTCCAATGTCAGGGCCACCCATCCATCGATTTTGACATCGCCACTCCCTGCATGTCTCACCCGCAAGGCTGACGCTGGTGTCCCCAACCAGGACGACTTTGTTTTAGCCAGGCATTCCTTGGCACATGATGGGCACATCGCCTCACTGGCACGCTTTTGGGGATGCGGCATTGGCCTTTGCACTTTTGGGGCTCAAAAGGGTTTCCTTTTTTGGGGGGTTAGGGGGATGATAAGGGAAGGGTGTGTGTGTGTGTGTGGTACTGCGCCTTTTGAGCTGCCAAACCGTTTGGCGGCCAGGTCACCCCGTAGGTCACGCATGATAGGTCACCGAGCGTTGGGAGCGGAGGGGGCCATGAGAAATGGTGGTGGTTCAGACCACTCTGCCCCCCGAGGTGTATTTCATATGGTATGTCTCACTTTTGATGTTCTGGCTGCTCACTTAGAGGTGAAGAGCCCATGGTGGGAGCCACGGGTCCTTTGAAGTCGGATTCCAACCTGCAAAGGGTCGTGTCTGACAGAAGCTACAGGAAGATGGCAGGATATATATTACCAAGGGCATTGTTCGGAGAAAGGATGGCAGGATGCTGCTAGATTTCAAGGACAATGTGACATGTGTCTCGGTTCCAAGACGTTCATAGATGATCCTCGCTCATTGCTTCGACCGCATGGCGACAAGGCACGCGGTTGAAACCGAGCGTTTGTTGAGACCTCGCCAGGCGCTCTATGGGGTCTTTGACGGCCATGGTCAAGCAGGTGCTAAATGGGATTCATGTCAACACAATAAGAAACATCACCAGCAGGTGACTCGCAGCAGGCGCCTGGTGTTTCGCAGCCATCAGCCTTGGTGTTTGGATCGCAGCACTTGTCAGCATTTTTTTGGAGGTCGTTTGCATGCGAGAAACTCCAGATGCAAGACTTCCTCAGTGTTCGATTCTGTTGAGCCACAACCTGTATAATTGGGATATACTGGGATGATGCAGAAAGAACAGGCAACCCGGTGGATGTTTTTTGGCCCTCGAGGAAGATAAATGTTTCCACGATGTTCCATGCCATTTGTATGAAGGAGACCAAAAAGACACGCTCGGTTCACTGATTAGTGACGAGAAGACATTAGACCTTAACACAGTTGAAGGATGAAGTCATGTTGAGAGAATTGACGAGGTAAAGTATGTACGGTACTTGTCCAGCACCACTTGATACCATTTGGCGGTGGGATGCCGTGGGTGAAAAAACCTCGAGGTTACCTTTCAGCCCTGGTAGGTTGACCATGTCTAGTAGTCTATTCTGTCCATTGTTCTGTGGGAAACACCAGGGGTCCCCGAAACCACGCACGGCACGGTCACCAGCTGCTACGACAGCTTGGACCCGACCCACCCCCTCGGCCAAGCCGTCGCGAAAGGTAGGTGAGCCAACAAGCTGATTTTGGAAGAACAAGCGGTTTAAGGGGCCGTTCGACCGCAAGATAAGCGGGCACCGGTACCTGTCCAGACCTCGATTCACGCCATGAAACAGCTGGATCATCCTCACTCGATGGTGTTTCCAGTTTCATGTTCCTCGATCTCTTCGCGTGGACCTCCTGTTTCTTGGACCAATCATGCACCCCAAAACTCATGTTGATCCCGCCAGCCAAAAGGAATAGGAGATTGGGCCCCTGGTGTCGCACTGTACCGCACCACCAGGTCACCACTGCGCAGCCTTTGCCCGTGGGGTTTTGCCGGAGAGTCTCTTCGGTGCCTGGGCCGAGCCGAGTCCGAGCCACCCATGGTGACCTTCACGGCCGGTACTACGGCCGGTGGGACTGGCATATACAGACCTGGAGCCTGGAACACCTACCAAAAGCGAGTCAAAAAACGGTGACCGGTTTGGGCTTCCGGGTGTAATTATATATATATATATGTGATTATGTAATATTATGTAGTTATGTGTGCATATATAACAATGTCCGCCTCATATGTTTTAAACTCCCGCTCCCCCTTGATCAAGTAGACTCTGAACAATGTTACATCCAGAAGAATCTGGAGTTGAAGTTGAAAAAAAGGAAAAAGAAAGGAACAAAAGGGAAACGAAAGGAACATGAAAGGAAATGAAAGGAGAATGAGAGAAAAGAAAAGGAAATGAAAGGAAAAGAACAGGACAGAAAAGGAAATGAAAGGAAAAGAAAGCAAGCAAATCTAAAAGGAATTGCAAAGGAAGCCACCAAAAGAACCAGGCAGGGTTTGTTTAGTACTATTTGAGGTTTGGAGTAATTGATAGTAATTGAAGGTTTGGGCTGCTTGTGAGGGGTAGTCTTTGTGGGTTGATTTTAGTTTACAAGAATGGCAATGCCCAAACAAGAAAATTAAAACAAAATGCAGCAGCCAAATCAGAAATCCAGAATCAAGGTTTGGAAGCAGCTGAAAATCAGGGTCCATTAAACAAGTATTATTGGTTGTTGACACAATTTAGTATGGTTCAATATTGTTCACGGACACATTATGTTACAGTGACCCCAGGTCAACCACCCCAATTGATCGGCAAATTTGGCGGTCCCATTAGTCGTGTCTGGGATAGGTTCACCCTTTGCACCAATGATACAAGTCGGGAGAGAGTGGAGGAGTGTAGGTGGGGGTTGCTTTGCAGGGGCTCAAAAATCCAAATGAGCCCTGAGAGGTACAGTTACTATTTGATATGCAAGTGGCAATCCAGTAGAACATATGTAGAACATGTCCAGCCAGAATCGCAGTACTGTTCCCGGAACAACCGTTCCATCAACGCCTCCAGTTCCGAATCCACCGTTCCATCCACCCAGGATCGACGGTCCGACGGACCCGCCGAGCAGCGACTGACCGCCACGAGTCCCAGGTCAAGGCTCTTTGATCGCAGGGCCAGAGGAAGCTCTCCGAGTGGCCTTTGCGCAAGTCCAGGAGCAGCGGTGAACACCAGTGGTCCCGCCGGTGTTCTCGGACACGAAAACCACCGGAGGATCATTCGGTCATGATGGTTGGGTGGGTGACGGTGGCAGGGGGAGTACCTATAATATATAGGCTATTTGTTAAGATTGGTTTAGGGATAGCTATTTAAATGTTTGTCAAGAAAAGTCACCGTGTGCTGCAGAAGCTATCTCAAGTTTGCTTTGTGTTTGAAGATCGCTGAATGTACGGGGTCATCTTGTATTTTTACGGTTGCTGGCATCCAGCTGCTGTCCGATAGAGCGTTGGGCTTAAGGAGCAGGTTCTGGGGTTCAATGGCTGCTTGATGGAATGACATGTTGATGAGTCTTTGGACCTTGTTCTTGGCTACCTTTTTGCTCACCCCACGAAAATCAACATAGGGCTCAACAGATATTCCGGTGGGGCCTCAACTTCATTTTCGGATTTTGTGCAATTGGTTGGGCCCTTCTTGGTGTTTCTTCCCCCTGAAGAGACCCTGATCTAGCTTCGGATCTATAGACTATTACTGTACCTTAGTTGTTCATGGGCTTTGAACCTCGAGACGCAAGTCAGCACCCACGCGGTTGAAGCTCTTATGGAGAGCAGAGGCGATCGACCGCTCGGGCAGCTTCGACCGGTGGGTCGCTCCCTGAAACGTGCCTATATGAGGAGCCCAAAGTAGATAGAACAGTGGATCCCCGCTCAAAATGTGGGGGCCACAGAAGCCGCACTATCTATTTGGGGGCCACAGAAGCCGCATGCAGAGAGGTTCCGCAGGTGGTGCCCTGTTTGTCCAGAAGCGCGGCCGGGCAGGCGCTGGCGGCGCCTGCGCCACATGCCGCGCCGCCGCTTTTGGATGGCACGTGGCCAACTGGCAGACAATGGGGGATGTATGAAGAGCACGTGGCCAGGTGATCCCTGATCATGTGGCCTCAAGAGAGGGCTACGTGCAACAGAAGGAACGTTGAGGTCCTGAAGAAGCAGATGGAGGAAAGAAGACAAGCTGACAAGCCAGCATAGAAATGCAGAAGGCAAAGAAATCCTGAACGACTGCGGAAGGGCAATGTCCTTCACAAGCCTTCCGCAGTCTTTGCCAACAGCTCGTGTTCGGAACGAGGGCCGCTTAAGAGACTTCCCGCTTAAAGCGAGAACTCCAAAATTCAGCGAGTTGGGAACTCAACTTAATGGCCCCGAATGTCGATGGTGGACCCCCATGTTTCTATCACATGTAGAGGATTGTAGATGTGCCAGTGCCATCTACTCTGAAACTCAGTCCACTGTATGCGTTTGAGCGATGCATGCAGAGGTTGTCCAGTGCAGATGACGTCCAGATGTGTTCCAACTCCTTTCTGACGATGGCGGTACCCGGTAGCCGTGGCAAAGAATGTGAGGAAATAATGCCTAATATATCCAAATGTCCTTTGCATGATGCAAGATCATGCTTGATCACTTTTCTGATAGCATTCCACACAAGTTGCATGATCATTTCCAAGATGCTATGGCCGATTCCCGCTCGCTCCCCACTTCTGGCCAAATGCTAGCTCACTCGCAGGAAGGCTTGCTGCGGGCACCTCAGATTCCGGCCGCCCCATGACGAGCCGTGCGGCAGGAGTGGCTCCAATACGGTGAGTGTCTCCAAAAAGGGGACATCTCCTTCCCGAAAGTGCCATGAAAAGGATGGAAAGGGCAGTAATTAGATGTAATTAGTATCAAACAGCATACCTTGTCCCTTCTAGAGGAAGGATCCTAAATGCTAGTGGGTTTGATTCGTAGGGCACTCCTGCTGAAGTGCGCACCAGCTTCAGCTTCAAATGATCGCAGCCTGTGCTGGGTTTACAGAGCATAGCCCTTTAACATCTTTTAACCTCGCCGGTAGATGGAGAAAATAATAGAACATATATCCTTTTGTGATAGACTTTGGTAGTTGTCAAGAACCATGATGCTTGGCAAAAAAAACGTGGCATATGACGGATGAAGTACATACCTTGGGCCGGGCCCCCTCGTTTTCATCGGCCTGTCTTCTTCCATCCGCACCACTGAGGCAGCAAGACTTCGACACAGAGACGAGCGGCACCACCGCCACTGTGGCACTGGCCACTGGGTCGTTCGCGACGTCGCACCGAGAGAACGAGGTGTTTTCGGGTGCGGTGAGGTGCGACTGTAACTGAGTTGGCCGAGAAACGGCCAGGGGTGGTTGGTTGATTTGAGGTCACTGTGTTAGATGTCAGTCACTGTGTTGGAGTCTGACCGTTGTGGGGCCCTGCAGTTCGTGGAAAACGGAGCGAACCCTTTGGGCCAAGGGACGCCGATCACTCATGTCGCGGCCCCCCCAACTAGAGAGGGCACCACGATGGAGACGTCTTAGGACTGCACCTAAGATCCGCGAGCTGCGATCTTCCGGATGTTGGTTGTTTAAATATGTTATTATACGATGGATACTATTAGGATGTATATTTTGCTATCATTGGTTGACTCCTTTAGTCACGGCGTGACCCTGGCGTATGTTGAGGGCTTTGTTTCTGTGGAAAACGATACGGTCCCCACCACTCAAACTTTTCGGCATCCCAAAAACATGAGAAACCACTTCCCCATAGCCGGCTTGTATGCATTCAGGCTCAGATCCCAACTCTCGAGGTGCTTTGATAAGCACAGCCCAGTGCTGGAAGAAACCATGGGCATTGAACAGGTTCTTTGCCATTCCTGCTTGCAAAGCATGGTAAGCTCTCATGTTGAGCTTCTGTGAAGCCTCATGTTTGATCAGAGGAACTGAGGAACATGCAATCGGGGAGGGAGTTGGTTTTGGAAACTATGACTATGACATGTTTGTTTGTTCAAGTCCCTGTACATGCAGGCATGCTATTTAAGCTAAGTATAGTTTGAAGCAACATAGGAAAACCATATGGAGAAATGACAAGCATGTCAAAAGCTGGCTACACAAGTCATTTGTTTTGTTTTCTCTTGTATAACTCATGGAGATCGACCCCAAACAGACTTCAAACAAAGGAAACAGGTCTTTGATTTCAGAGCTGCTGAAAAGGCTTCATCCAGCTTCCAAGTCACAACTCCCAAGTGCTGAGGTCCTACACTTTCCGGTCTCTGAGGAGGACCCCGAGATGCAGGCAGACCGCGACCGCGGTCTCTCCGCGGCCGTCCTCGAAATGCTTGCCTTTATAGTGGTCCCCGGATGTGTCCAAGACATTTCTAGTGGGGATCTACTGTTCTACCTATTTAGGGGTCTATACATATATATATATATGATCATATATGCTTGCCTGTGCAGTGGTGACGTGGGGATCTACTATCCATTCAGGGGGTCTATAATACCAAGACCTCCTCGGCCCGATCAGACGCCTGTCACGCCTGTCGACTGGTCGGACGCAGGGCGAGAGTTGGCTCTACGTGGCCAACGTCGGCGACTCGCGGGCGGTCCGGGGACCTGACCCCACCGGTGATCTGATGGGCTCGATGGGTATCCCAAGGAAGAAAGCAGAAAACAGGAAGCTCATGAAAGTTCCCAGTCGTGGGACATGACGTTGATTTGTCTACCACCAGTGCTGCATGCGGTTGATTGTGCTGGCTTCTTGCATCTTCTTGCATACATCCGGAATCGGCATTTAACGCTACAGCTTGAAAGCTGCACTTACTGTGGCATTTGTAGGCCATTTTTAGCTCCACGTATTGCATTTGGCTGTGGAGTGCTTGAAGAACCCATGACGCCCAGCAAAAAACACAAAAAGGACTTTAAAAGCGAAAACAACGACATGACATTCATGGCTGCATCGCCACTCGTTTTTGACATGGGGCAGCCCGGGCCACGAAGAGGTACCGAACAGGAGTGATTTGTAGGTATATACCCACGTTGGAGTAGGCATGGCTTAGTGGGTAGTGATTAGTAGGTATATATATAATACCCATGTTATGCATATTATGCACCAAACATGTGAGACATGAATGAACGCCTGGGCCCGCGCCTGGGCGCATCCCGCGCGTGCCACGGGACCGGCAGGTTCTCGTCTCCAGGAGCGGTGAAGATCGCTCTGAGATTGCGGTGGGGGACACCCAGGAGCCGCAGAGCGGCGTGGCCGAGCCTCGCAAGCGGTTGGGTTGGCTCTATGAACGGCCCAAGGATCTTTAGGATCTTGAAGGATGCGAGGAATGCAGCTGAAAGACGCTGACTGTGAGCGTGAGACTGCGATCTCTCTCTCTCTCTCTCTCGGATCTTGAGATCCAGTCTCGATCCTTTGAAGGACCATTTCTTTCTTTGTAGACTCCAACAACTGAGAGGGCTTGAGTTCGAGATGTTTGAGCCAAAAAAAAGGAGCAGTTGCCTTAGAGCCCAAGTTGGTTCATGTTTGGTTCCCCAGGCTCCAAACAAAAGCCCAGCTCAAACGGGAGCTGAGACTCGGCAGCTTGGCTCTTGGGCGTCGCGATCGCCGTCCCTGACCACGGTCGGGCCGTGAGGTGAACCGCCTCACGCGAGATCACAGGCGCGACCAACCGCGGGGAGCGTCGAGCACGGCTGGAGATCTGAGGGAATCCCTGAGCCCACCATTCCAGAAAAAAGCCCAAACCGTGGCCTTAATGACGATATAGAAAGAATCTCCCCGACCGGTGTTCGCCTAGCATCCAACCCAATGAAGGGGGATGAAAGAAATATGGCCTTAAGATGCCTTAAGAAACTATGAGAAGCTTGATTTGAAGCGGGGGCGAAAACTTGGCGCTGGGAGCATGACGACCACAGGGCTTGGGGTCAGCTGAGATGTTTCGTTGGTGTGAGGGGAATTCGATCATTGATGGACACATTTCATTAAGACAGCTGGCGCAAATGCCAAAGAGATGCCTAAGCCACAAGACTAAGACTGATTGCAACTGTCCTGTGTCTTTTTTGGGCATGGACAATGGGCCATCATACAATATAGTTAGCAGGCGTTTTTGTTTCCAACCACCTCCAGTTCAGGTACAAAGATGCTTGTCCGTCCCACTCGTCCCCTTCGGCGCCCCTCACAAACATCCCAAACAGAGGAGTTGAATGGGGCCTAGAAGGGTTTGGGCACGAACTCCAAAAAAAAGGCCACAAACTCCAAAATCATGGTCCACAAACTCCACGCATAGCCATTTACAAGGTCCCCGCACTCCCAGACATGTAAGAAAGATGCTTCTGTGCAGTTCACCTCTTGGGTCTTCAGAAGCATCGTCCTCCCGATGTCTCGGAGTTCACGAGTTCACCGGTACCGCGCATGGTCAGTTTGCGGGGGGTGGTTTGTCAAGGCCTGATGACCTGGCGGAAGCCGAACGCATCCAGGTGCGAGACAGTGGCTTCAAAAGGTTGGGGACAAAGAATGTTCGGTCAAAGAGTAAGACACATTGTGGTTTGATATAGAAGCTGCTAGGATCCTTTTTACAAGTCCTGTTTGGGGCACCATGTTTATCCAGTTTGTTTTGTTTGTGGAGATGTGGTTGGTGTTTCCATGGGCCGAAGGCGATGTATGTCACAATTTGCCATGTATGTTCATAGGGTTCTGGGGATGATCTTTGGTGTCCCAAAAGGCACTATGGACATGCCGGAACAATTCCCAAACACGACCTATCTGGGACTGCCAGTCCGGACTGCCGCCCCAGCCAGACCCCCAGGAAGACCACCCCAAGTGATCGGCAGTCCTATGGCAGTCCCATGGGTCGTGTCTGGGATAGTTCCTTGAGACCGGCTGGGCGAAAAGGAGAGCTCCAAAGACTGGGTGTGACCTAGAGGGGTCCGACCTAAGAAAAGCATGGGTTCTAAGACAGAACCACTGGCTTGTGATGAACACCATTTGCAATGCATATTTCAAGACATTTCGACGTCCTTTTCAAGGCAACGTCCTTGCTTTTCGGCAAGCTTGAGCCCGGTTACTTAAAGACGCCCTCACGGTTCCAACCAGGTACAGGAAACATGGTCCTCCTCCGATCTTTCCCGGGAATTTCTTGGAGAAAACGTCAAATCCATAGCGTAGTTTCCCGGAATTTGGAACATGATGTGTGTTTTCCTTTTGGGCCCCTAGCGCTCACTAGCTGCTGACTCAGCTGCTGACCAGGCGGAGGGAGGCGAAGTGCGACGCCTGCGCCCGGGCAGTGGCACCTCCCGCATTTTCGCCCCAGGCGCAGCGCACGAGATGGGTCTCGGAAGGCACCAGGATTTCGTGGGATTCCGGTAGCCAGAGGGGTTGGGATACCTCAATCAAGGCAGCCAAAAAGCTGAGAGCCTAGTAAATATATCCAAAATTTGGCTCGAAGAACCCTGGGAGTGTTCACCAAAGTGGTGGGGCAAAGTATGGTTTGAACTGGGAAGTCCAGCTGCGGGTGGGGTAGGGGAGGTGGTTTGTGAGTGTCACGATCACAAGCCTTGATGAGGTTTGACTTGAAGAGTGAACAACCAGTGCTAGGCAACCCTTCAAAACGTTTTGGCTCAGTTCTCCTGAATGTTTTAAAGTTTCAAAGGATTTCAAAGGTGATGTTCCAAAAATAGTACAATTTTGATTTGAGCCAAGAGTTTTGATGGCGGTGTCATACAATATATACTACCTTCGGATGACATGAAATTTGTTAAGCATAAACATAAATTCACACGTTCCCAAGTCATTTGCCTTATATATCCCCTTTGTGTCCGGAGTGTATAAATCCCATGTCATCAGGGAAACAGAGCCAAACACAAGATAATGCGAAGCATCACCAGCTTGCCCATGCAACCCAGTACAAGGCTGCTCTTGAAACGGTGCAACAAGTCCCATCTCATCCTGCTTCACCTTTATAGCCGCTTCATGGTTAGGTGCCAACACGTTTTTGACACGACAAAGGACTTACCTACATTATTCCTATGTCACTTGACGCCTGGACTCTTACGCGATCCATTCCCAGTATATACAGTGGGCTCAGAGTAGATGGCACGATCCCCAAAAGGTGGTTTAGATGGACCCCTATCTCAAGGACATCTTGAGGTTTGTGCCATCTACTCTGAAACATACTGTATCATATATCATATATTCATATATCATACGGTTGTTCTTGGACTTCATTAGGGGTCCAATCGCATGCCCTCAGCTTCGCTCGCCACAAACGCCACAGGATGCCAGTGGCCAGCCATGGCCCTGTCTCGCTCCTTGGGGGCCTCCATTGCCGGCACATGTGGCGTGAGCAGCGAGCCTGAGGCGGCGGCAGCCTGGGGGACCTGGGAGGACCTGGAAGAGCTGAAGCCGATGAAAGAGCTTGGCTCATCATGAAATATGCTCTGCCGTTCATGGTGAACAACGAACAAAGATGAAATGGTCCATTGCAACTTGGTTCAAGTGTCCAGCTTGGTTCAAGAGCCGAATATAGCGACATGCCATTGGTCACCCGTTTCCTTATTTACCGGTGGGATGAGGGATGAGCGGCGCACCCAAAGAAGATGGTGGATGGCCCTCAAAGCCTTTGGATGGTCAGATGTGGATCCCTGCAACCCTTTTCAGGATGGTCTATTTTCAAAGTGTGCAGAAGGTCCCTATAAGTCCTACTGCTCGATTCCTGCCTTCGAAGAGTGCTCACATCGAGTTGCACTTAACCTTCCATTTTCCACACAAGCCCTGCGAAGGACCTACATCGAACCATAAGAACGCATCAGCCGCATCAGAAACTTCAAAATCATCCGGCATCTATAGAATGCATCCGATTAAAATTCCTGAAAGGAGACCCCTTCCCAGCTCGCAAAGAATCTGGGTCAGAAGATCCCATCCAAAAGCAACAACAAAATAGTTACAGTACATTCCAGCTCACTAACATGGAAGTGGATGGCCTGGCCCCGAAAGGAAGACGACTTTTAGTAAAAGAGGGGGGGTGGTTTCCCACTTCCATGTGAGGTGTGCCACCCCCCATCCATCACATGTGATGGAATATGCTATAGAGAGTGCCAGTGCTATGCTATAGAGTGGTTTTCCCTTCCTTGGCGATCCACTTCCATGTGATCAGTCGATCCATTTTGAGCGGGTGGTCGGATCCCACCTTCTCCGTTCAACGGATGCTGCTCGGCAGGTGACCTCGGTGCGCTTGGCCAACAGCTCCGACGAGCTCTTGGTGCTGGGCACCGACGGACGGCGTGTTTCCCGCGGCGGGCGGTGGTTCGACCAGGGCGGCGTTCGTGGTGTCAGGGTGTGTCTCAAGGGGGCACCTTGAGAAAAGCAAGGTAGATCAACAGAATTCAACGAACAACAGTGCTTGTCCCTTGGTGTGTTTGGCATTGGGGTGCATTCCATGTGAGGTGATTTCAATATGTTAGAGGTGTTTTTGTGGAGACAGACGAGGCGAAGTCCAAGAGGTCCATCCCTTTCAGCCGCCAGGCGCAAGCAATCCAAGTTCTCATCGGACTTGGTATAGAGATGCATAGAGTATAGACCGGGTTTTGGAGCGCAGAAGGTGATCAGACTATCACGTAAAATAATGTGTAAAAAAAAACGAGAGCCGTGCATTTCTTCCCTCATTCTTTTTCGGATTGCCCCCATTGCAAGTGGGCCTTCCCTGACAGCGTATTTGAAAATGACCCATCCACCTAGCTGGTGGTTGACTTCCCACGGTCCACAGCGGGAGTGAGTTCGGGTTGGCTATACCTTGGCATCCTCAAACTCCTTGAAGGCACCGGTCGTTGGTCGTCAGATCATGTCCGCCTCCAGGACTCTTTGAGTTCTGCAGCACCAAGGAAGTCGCTACGCGTTTATGTCTGGATCCCAGGAACGTGCCACTTTTTTCCTCACAAAGGACTCAAAAGGAGGCCAACTTTGCTTTGCAATGCACCTTTCAGACCAGGGGCCCGCCGATGATTTCCAGTGCATTTTGGGGTCGCCCTCGCGGGGTGAGTGTCCGCCAAATAGATCACAACAGTTGCCAGTGGTTCGGCGAGATGCACTTGGTCAGGTACCGAGGGTGTCTCAGATGAGGTCTTGGAGGACCGCAGATGCCAGATCAATGAAAAACACACCAATCCAATGAAGCCCGTCTGCAATTGTCTCCCAGATGCCAGATCAATGCACGTCTCCACATGTGATCTCCGCGTCCCTTTGTTCGATGGTCGGCTCCTCCGGGTGTCCTTCGCACGTAGGACGTGTGCTCCGTGGCACGACGACGCTGGGCTCGGAGCGGCGAGCTCGGTGGAGCGGAGCAGAACGGCCATTGATGGCCCTGGAAAGGCAGACCAAGGTGGCACAAATGTTACGCACACGGCACACGTGCTATTTGTTTGTTGTTTTTTTTGGGGGGGGTTGGAGGGTAGTTCAAGTGAGTCCAGGTGTTTGCTCATCCCCCAAAGATGGGATGCTAGTTGGCGGCATGCCAACTTGCAACAATCAGAGGACAATGAGGACCTATTGGGGGCAGAGTTGACTGCAGAGGTACGCCGAAGAGTAGGGGGTCCTATGGCTTTGGATGAGAGCAGAGTTATGACTGAATTAAATATATACGTATAATATCGTATAATTACCTGGAGACCCAAGCAGCCATTTGCTATATGTAAGGGATTGTAAAGGATCTCAAGCAACCCATATTGGAAGAAAAACCATTTGTTTCTGGTTTGTTTTGGTTCCCAGGAATATCTCCAAAGCTTGCCAGTCTTCGTGTCAAGGTTCGTACAACGACACCGTGGACGATATCACGGCCGTCGCTGTGCGGGGACTCGGCGGTGTAGGGTTCGGTGGTTAGACCTCCCTGGCACCCACCCCAACCACTTTCTGGGGATGTGGGTGAACCGTCATGAAGATGCTGGCACGATCATGAATTGAGAAAACGTTCAACAATGCCACTGCGGCAAAATGTCAGGTGTTGATCCACTCAGTAACTCTGAGTATATAGGTCAACATCATGAAGGGTCGACTGACACAATTTTTGGAGCCACAATGACTGGTTTTTTGTGCCTGGACTACTTAGGAAAGCTGACAAAGATTTAATATAGTATAGCTTTGGCCCAGCAGGGACAGCTTGTCACAGCGTTCTTTTTCTCCGGGTTCCACAGGACAGCCACACAGAACTCGTGACCACATGCAACAAAAGGAACCCACTGGGGCCCAAAGAAGCTGAAGAGCTGCTGGGTCAAAAGGAGTGTTGCCAGGCTTGCACTTGTGTTTAGCACTAGGGCAAAGCCAAATAGTGACCAGCTTTCCGACCAGTATGGGACTGAGTTGATGATGTCCATGTTCCTTTGTTTTCATACATTGCCATGCGACCGGAATACTATAGCTGCCGGAAAGCTGTTTGTGCTCGACGTAGATGATGATGCACAGCCTGAGAACGCTTCAACAGAAGGCGCAGATTCATGCCACGCGGCAGCCTGACGGGCTGGGCTGGGGCTGTGGATCGATGGGCTGGGGCTGGTATGGGAATTTGATTAAATATGAGGATGTGAAATGCAAGGGGCCCCCTAAACAAACCAATCCGAGCCTAGCCGGAAGACATCCTTTTGCCATCGTTGAACCGAGAAATCGTTTGTTTTGCGCGGCAGAAGCTCCAGCAGGGCGAAACGAGTGAAACCAGCAACCAAACCACACTGGCTTTGCAAGGCGCACGACGCAGTGGATGTACGTTTTTTGCTCTCTCAACCCCTACCTAATTAGCAATCCACCTGCAATGGGTTTGCAAGATGGACACTGAATTCATCTACCAGGCAGATGCTCCTTTGGGGGGTTGTGATATGTTATGTGTGTATGTGGTTTTAGAACTTGCATTCTATTATTAACTATATTTGGATTGTCCAGCGGCACAAGCGTCTGCTTGCTAGGGGAAGGGAGCACTCAAATTTGCTTATTGGTGTTGTGGCATCATGCTTGTTGAATTTCGGGCTTCATGGAATGGAAAGAAGACCACCAGCCTATACTTCATGATGAGACGACATGTAGATGGACACAAACTCGAAAAGGCTTCAGTCATTTGACAGTCCAGGGCCCTTCAGCTCAGGTGCATTTCTTCCATTATTGACTTCTGTCAGCTGCTTGGCGCGTCTTCGCATGTGAGGGGATAGTGAGGCTGATTGAATGTCCAACCAAACAATTGCGATCGGGGTCTTTGTCATTTTCTTCCACTCTTCCTAGTACTCTCAGAAGCCTGCTTTGGCCCCAAAAGGGTCAGATCGGGCAAACCGTTGTTTGTGCTTTCGGGGGAGACGACTGAGATATGGTAGGATCCTTGCCTGTTTCTTCGGATTGCTTTTGATGCATCCTTGTCACGTGAATGTGTCGCATGTCTTTCATGGACCCCAATGCCGCCCCTATGCCATCACAATGAAAACAGAGAAACATACCATCTTCCGTAGCTCGGTGACATTGCAGTCGGGTCAGCCTTCCCACATCATCCTTCATTTTCAGACTGGTAAAGCTGAGGAGTCTTCTCAGGTTGGCATGCCAACAAGTCCTTGGCCAGCCTATCACTGATCAAGGCGACAGGGATCGACGTCATGCGATGGATACAATAGCGGTGGAAGTGGAATGATACAATATGGATACCCTGACAGGGTGAGAGATGGTGCAGGGATGAAGTCCAGTGGTGGGGGGGCTTGATATGTAATCCGTTTGAGCAGTTCATCCTGGATGCCAAACTTGATTTGCATGTAACATAACGATATCATACACTATCAGACAATATCCAAGTGTGTATATATATACACATATTTGTTGTGTTGTTTTAATATTGAGGTGTGTCCCCTTAAGATGTCATTCTGGGCTAAGTGTTTCAACTCCCAAGAAGCATGCTCAGACCTCATCAGAAGGAAATGAACAAGAACAACAAATCTTTTCCTGTCCAACTCTTGCACTAGCCTCCCTGGGGGTGCCGACCTTCTTTTGCTATACATGGTACGTCCCTCAACTGTTTGCTTGAGGGCTTTTCGAATCAAGACACTACACCCTATGTTGGCAAATAATGTAAAGTCTTATCAATTTTGATGTGTTTCACTCACTATGGCTTTCACTCATTTATATGTATGTTCACTTTTGATGTGTTTCTATATGGTTCACTCATTGGCTTTGTTCGGCCCTCCAGGCATGCCCAAGCGGAAGCTGGGAGAGCTCTCTGAGCCGCTGGTCGAGTCCGCCGCGGCCACCGAGCCCGCTGCGTCGGAGCAGTCAGAGGGCGCGGCGTCCTCGAGCGGCGCGGAGGCCGCATCCTGGTCCTTGACGGAGCTGAATGACGAGGTGTTGCTTCAGATCTTGTGCCTGGCCTGAGGAAGAAAGTCCAAATGATTTACGACCCAAAGGTAAGTGCACTGATCCATGCTGCTTGACAGCTGGGAGACAGCCAGCGACTCTGCAGAGAGTGTGTACTGATGTGTCCTGTTGTTATAGTTGAATCCTAGAATCTTGTTACAGGCAGAATGAAGAATAACACACCGCTCTACCCCCTCTCTGGAGAAATAGGCACAAAAAGCAGCTGAAAAGCTCGGGCTCAGGAGTTCCTTGCCTGGTTGGATGGCTTGGCGTTTGGAGGCCACCGGCCTTGCAGCTTGGCGCACAGGCTGCACGGACGCCTGGTGGAAAACCAGGCGCGCCCACGGCACGCGTTGCGATGCATCAAAAACGGAGCGACACTCCAAGCGCGTCTCAGACACTCCGTTGTGTTTCATCGCGCACCCACTGGTTTCTCCACGTAGGTGCCACTTGGAGTTCGCTGCGGAGCGCCTACCCGCGCCGCTGGCTGGGTCCACGTGGCGCCAGAGCTATCGACAGCTTTTGGGAGTTCAAGCTGCCAGGTCAGGTGGCGGGTGGCAAGGGTTGGGGATGTGGATGGAGGTCCGAAATGACATGAATTTGACAACAAAATCGGTCAAATAGTAGATTGATAAATTGAAGTGGAAATCCATGGAAATCCATAGTGACGGAACTGGAACACTGTCGGTAATATGTGCAAATAGACTGGTGTTTTCTGGTCGACGGGATCAACATTGGAGCATTGTCGGGTTGAAAATTGGTATAGCCCCATGTTGTTTGAAAGGGTCTTTGAATGTCCGTCCTTTATTAACATCCTTCAACCAACTTTCGCCACCAGATGAATTTCCATTGACAAGGTTCAAGGTTGTTGTAGGGTAGATGCGACCTCAGCTGCCCTTCGCCAGGACCGGCGTGTGGTGCTACAGCAGTCAACGTCACGGGCTGCGGGATCGCGTGGCAGCGCCACAGCTGTTCGTCAACCCCTCGGGCGAGAAGCTCTTCTGTGACTAAGCACGAGCTTTTGCTCAGACAGAGCAGGTTCCGGAAGGGGATCGATTTTTTGGACCGCCAGCCGACAAGATGCACAAACAACGGCACAGAAAGGATAGCCAAGCCCCCTCCACCTGTTTGGACGTGGATCAAAACGGAGCCAGCCCCAAACAAGGCCCTAGACCCTAGCATATGATTGTGTTTCATGTAGCAGCCCAAGCCGGTTCACAACTTAAATATGCAGATAATGCTATAAGCTATCACATTCACTATTGGCACTCATAACTCATTTGCGGAGCTTTGCTCAAGCTTCAGGCTATGGCGGATGGACTGATGGAGGAGTTTTTTGGTGGGATGTCGGCTCGGATTGCTTTCACCGATCGACCAGCAGTGATGACCGCATGCGTGAGTTGCAAAGGGGCGTTGGTGAGGGATTAGCCTTTGAATTTGGAAAAGAATGCTCTGACTTTCTTTGACTCTTGACTTCCTCTTTCTTTGGTTGCGAGGCTGCATCAAGTGATCAAGCAAGCGCGAGTGTGCAGAAACCTTCTTGCTAATGCTTACAGTAACTGTCCTCGATGCAGGACCTCAGACAGACCTCCATTGGGTCCCCATCTCTTCGGTGGTCAACGCCGCACACGACCACAGTGCCGACCATTGGCGCTTTCAGCGAGCACAGGCGAGAGTTGGGTGTGGACCAAAGCATCTCGGACTTCATTTTTGTGCGTCCTTATTCTTAAGTGGTGACCATTCATTTCGCATATTTTGCCATGTGAACCACACCACGTCAACTGCCACTTCCTGACAGAAAGGATATGTTATTGGCTAACAATAGCCCTATGGATACTAAATGATGATACATGCCGATACCCATGTTGAGATCGAATAAGATCCAACACCCAAAGGATTTCTTACGGTTTCTTGGTGATTTATTTTGGATCTATTTGGCATGTGTGGGCCAGGTGTGAACCACAAACCGCCTCCAAGGAATGATCCTGTTGGATGGTCCTTGCCATTCCTGTTCAATTTGTTTTGAGAGTGGTTTATCCTTCCGGTTGTTCAAACTGTTTCACATAATTTCACGAACGTGCACATCGTCGGGCATGAAAACCCATGAATTCTTTGTAATGATCAAAGTTTAGACACATATTATAGGCCTTCTTGAATCGAGCTGATTCGACAGCAGTCTCACATAGGCATACTTTGCCTTCTCTTTTGTCCCACAATAAGGCAGTACCCTGACTCTGCTACGCATGGGTTCTGTGTTGTCACGCTTGGTCCACGGAGCACGTGCAAGGCGGTGTTTGAAGCGTTGAACTTCGTTTCCCCTAGGGCCTAGGGAACTCAAGGATTGGTGTTGAGGCAAGGCGCAAGCCTGGGATTTGGCTGAATTATTTGCAAGCCTTTGTCGTTCAAAGATGTTTCTCACAAGGTCAAAGTCATGTTTTTTGGTGCCAAACGTGTAGAGACCAACAGCTTGCACTCGCGCTTAAGCTTAATGGTGTTCCCTGCTTTTCCACGCATTCCGCTACGTACTCCGCGGTGTATTCCGCGACGCCGTTGGCAGGCGACTGGCACTCCAGCGATGCCTGGGGGGGGTCCAGAGTCTCACCCCGCTTTGGGCGGAGTCTGGTACCTTGGATGCGCCCTCCCGGTCCTTTGTGGCGGAGACGGCGCGGAGAGTGGGTGGATGGGTGGAGGGGTAGGGGCGGACTCGTCTGTGAGTTGTCTCACTCTTCAAGCTATGGATGAACTGAAGAAATGAATCCTATACTATAATTATAGACAAGTGTAGGAACCTCGAGACTTGGAGAATAGAAGTCGCAGATGTGCATGAGAACGGCTGGGTTTGGCATGCCACGGGTTTCGCACAGAGGTTTCATTTGCGACCAGGATCCTCTGTTTTGGTCACCACGGGCTCGCGCCAAACGCTCCTCACGCCGCAGGCGTCCCAGCTCCGCCGTGGGGGGCCGGCCACCGCCGCATGTGAGGAAGATGCTGCACTGGTGCGGGGCGGCAGGGTGAGTTCAGGGAAATGCAGGGCACTAGAGTCGTGCCAAGTAGCAATAGCCTCCAACAGACGACTGTATAGCCCATGGACTTGGACCCCACAACTTATATATCCCAGTTATATCAGCATACGATGTCTATGCGTTGTTGTTCAGCGCCACCATGCGCCACCATTTTTTGGCAGGATCAGAGTACCACTCCACCAATTAAGCAAAGAAGTAGGAAGCAGTGGGCACAAGCCAATACCAGCTGAGAGGATGTTGAAATCCCGCGATGTGAGGTGGTTTGACCCTCTCAGACACTTGGAGAAAGCGCCTTTCGTGTCGGACATGTTTCAAGGCTTCATGTCTACATTATATTCGCCTTCCGCATATCCTTTTTGTTCCTGCGCAATTCTACACGTTTGTTGACCCTGCTTTGGAGGATGAGCAACAGAACAAGTCTGATGATCCTCAGTCTTGGGCCCCTGGGTGTTTTCATGATGTTTTCCATGTTTCTTGATATTGTCTTATATAAAACCCGGGAAGAGACCCACATGGAACCAGATGCCATGGACCAGACTGGAAGACGATTTTCCTCTACACACTGGGCACGGAACGACACGGGGCCCATGGCAGGTCATGGCCTTCGGCGGCGGGGGTGGCGGCTATCGCCATGAGCACAACAGCTGGGCGATCGGAGTGCTGCGCGAAGTGCCAGGCCGCCGGTGTTTGGAGCTTGGAATGGCTTGGAGATTGTACCCGGAGTCTCAGTTTTTAGACCTTTGGACAGGGGTGCAGTTACTGCTTGGAGGGTCATGTTATTTCCATGTTTTCATTTATGTCCTACAGTTCTTCTTGGAGACTTCGTAAACAGGGTGCCATGTTCACTCCATGACTTGCTCAGGTGGAGACACCACGAGTATTTTGTGGGGACGACCTTCAGCGAAGGAGAAAGGCCAGGAGTTGGAAAGACGTTGCTACTAGTAGTAGCTTCTTGCTACTAGTAGTAATGCCCTTGTTACTAGTAGCGATGTCCTAGCTACTAGTAGCTTCTTGTACTAGTAGCGATGCACTTGTTCCTAGCAGCGAGTAGCGATGCCCTAGCTATATACTGGTAGCTTCTTGCTACTAGTAGCGATACACTTGTTCCTAGTAGCAATGCCCTTGTTACTAGTAGCTTTGCTAATGAATAGATGGCGCCGGCACATGAACTGAGCATCTATAGGGTGGTCAAAGAGTATGGACTGCCCCACTGAATGCAACGTAGATCTAAGACTGCCATTGCATGTTTTTATGTAAGTATATTGTGGTGTTCTTGGTGAGGTCACCGCGATGCTTACATGGCAAGAATAGGCATGATTACGGTAAGCCTTCTTGCCTGATTCTTGGAGATATTTGGTATGGTCCTGGTGACTCAAGTAGGTGTGCGGACCAATCCAACTTGCTGCAGGTGTTTCCTCTGAGGGCATCAGCCAAAGCCTCTTGCTGCAAGCGTTGTCTCACTGCCATACGACACAAGCTGGGCACACCAGCGCAATCCATCGTGATCCAAGAAATGACCGTTGAAGGAACTGATTGTCTCCGCTCACACTGAGCGCATTTGAGCGCTCTAGCTTGAAGTAGCTCCCTTGCAAGCACGTGCTTGGTTTGTATGTGCACGGCATCGCTCAAGTTTGAGTTATCCCACAAGCCCTGAGTTGCTAGAAGGCGAGGCTGACCAAAGACAGTGCTTGTTGGTTGGTTGGTCGGTCGGTTGGTTGGTTATTGTTCGCCTCACACGCACCATTTGTTGGGGATAAGAATCAGCAAACATGAGTTTGCAGGAAGCGTTGTGTCCTGAATCATGTTGTATCAATTTTATGTGTGATGTGGCTTGTTTGCTTGCCCACTCACCTTGAAGCAGTTTGCACCTCGAGGCTTGACGTCGCATACTCCAACCCCACGCTGCGCGCATACGGCCACCTACCTCCCCGAGAGGCACGGCTTCGCCGGCCGCCTTCGCTGCACCGGGTTCCGCCCGGCCTGACCTGCGCATCCGCCAGGTTCACGCAGCTCGCCGAGGGCGCCGTGCTCCTGTTCGGCGGGCACACGGCGCACTGTACCGAAAGCCTGGCCACCGCGGATCCCTGGCGGGTTGGGGGGGCGGGTTGTGGACCACAGCTCAGGGATGCTCAGGGTGCAACCAGTGCAAGCCCTTCAAACGGATGGCTCGTTAGAGGAGGAGCTTGGGTGCTGCATGTTAGATCATGAACTCCTCGATGTTCGGGCTTTTGCTCAGCTTCCGGGATTGTTGAAGGCCATAATGGATCGATTCTGGCAAATCTGTTCATGCCTTCACTCCGGCAGTTTGGATGAACGATGATGTCACATTGAAATCGGTGGCGCAAGAGTCCCCCGATGCCAGGCATGGTCCTTAGACGGTATGCCGGTATGCCGCAGCTGCCGGTGGTCGTCCCAAAAGCCGTACCAGCCGCCCGTTCCGACCTCGCAAAGCTGCTATTTTAGTCCGGCCCCCTCACGCGGGTTGCTGTGCGTTGCTTGCCCGGCCCACCCATCCTTTACAGTAGAAATATATGGGTGGCACCATGCCGTGGTTGTTTTCGCGCCACCCCTGTCAATTCTCGGCCGCTTGGACTCAGGAACTCCTCACTTTGCAGGACTGGCAGTGGCAGCCGCTGACCCTGCAGAAGAGTGACGCGCTGGGAGAGGACCGATCCTGCCCGGGAGATGCCCAAACACCACAGGCAACGGGGTCTTGGCCAAACTAAGACCATTGGGAAGTCGTTGAGGGTCTGGAAAAGGTCCGGGAAGTTGAGCATAGTTGCTTCATGTTGCTTCAGTCCCTGATTTGGGGCTGTCGAACTATCCCGTGTCTCACCTGTTTTGCCTGTCTCGGCAGGACTGGGAGATGAACCCACGGCATGGGCACAGCAGCACCTTCTTCGACTCTGGGCTCGTTAGCAGGTCGCTCGTGTGACTTTCAACTTGGATTCTGTGAGGTGCATTTCTGTCCACGGTGAAACGCTTCGTGAATCCGGGATGTTCTCCTTGAGGCTGGTCATGTGATTCTGTTCCACCCACTCAGGAGTGGTTCGACATGGTTCGACAAGGCAGGTGCATATATGGGTGAACACCAGAGTTTTGTGTCCCTCCGACCGCGCGCCATTCGCGCGTGCATGATGCGGTCGCCATAAGGAAGTGGATGGCAAGGGCTATGTGGTTGTTGTTGGAGGCTGGGCATGGGACGGCCGGGCAGCGATTCGTCACTCGATTTGTGGAGCGAGTCATCCCCTCTCAAGATGTACTGTATGATTCAATATGATTCATAATGATTCCTGTTTGGGTTTCAATAATTATACGTGTTTACCTCGGAACGTACATTCAACAACCGGGATGTCCAAAGAGCACAGCAGTGATGATTCATTTTATTTTAGAGGTCTTTGTGCCAAAGGGCCACGTCCCATCAGCGATGCCAGACATGTTGGTCCATAGCCGTAGCCATAACAGTAGCCATAACATATTGAAAAGACGTGTTGGTCATTGTTGGTTCAATATGATTGAAGAGGAAATGAAGAGACGTGTTGTGAGGTGGCACCGGCAACATTTTGGAGACTTGGGGTGTGCGAGACTTCTCCGACGTCTCAGTGCTGTGTGTGGAGACATGGACGTGGATTGGTCACTACCAGCCACCTGGCGCACCTGGGCGGTTTGGTTCAGACCACCGGTAGAAGCCGCCCAGGTGGGAGAAATTATATCTCCCCAACCTGCGGAGTGTCTATGTCTAATTCGGCATGTGCACCTTTTTTTTGTGGGAGTAGTAGTTCCAGTAGCTGCTGGTAGCTGAATCCTTTCGGCAAGTGATCAAGTGGTGAGAGATGGGACTCCAAGAGAGGATGTATCCGTACTTTTGCATAGGTCCTTTCTGTTCGTGGAGGTTGCCGTGTACGTCATCCGGGGTCATACGGGCCTCATCACCGACTTAGCGGGGCGACTTAGCGGGGCGAAAATGCTTTCAGCCACCTCATTTGCAGAAGACTGATGATTTATTTGGATGTGGGTACAGTGTACAGACGAGGGTAGGCCAAACCCTACCATCCCTACCTGATATCGACCAACATGGGGCAATATTTGGCAACTGTTTATATACCATGGGACCCTTTTGCAAGCAAGCTTGGGACGATCCATCAATAAGAATTGTCGGCGTCATCATCGTAGTAGTTATCATTCTCATTCGTTGAAGAGGCTTCACACAACTCATTTGAGAAACTCAGACCAAGCTTGTGGGGGTAATGCCAAGGTCCTGTGGTGTGCCAATCGAAATCTGACCAGAGACACGTTCAACCTGACCAGAGATAAGGCAGATGCTTCATAGTCGTGTCACAAAACCAGCCAATTCTTGCAATTTTCTTTGATCACTCCCTTCTGGACTCTTGGACACCGCACGAACACCACACCGAGCGTCTTGCCGCGCGCCGAATTGCTTACTGAGGCTTCGGGGTGAAGACGTGCCGGGACGACACCACACGGCGTGTCGTGGTTTGGGAAACCAACTGCTCATCTTCGGGGGCGGCCGGCGTCCCAGCAACCAGGCGGGGGTCAGGTGTTTTGGGTGGACGGTGAGGTGGTTGAGGAACGAAGAATGGACATCGGCCACTTAAGGGTCTCCGAGGGAAAGGTGCGAAAAATGAACTTCCGTGATCTTGATCAGCTGTCACCAAAGGGGAAGCGGGCCGCTGGAGTGCCGCTGTCCCTTGGAGTGCCTTGGTGGTACGCGGCAAGTGCCTCGTGAGACTGGCCGTTTTCTCATGCAGTGCGTCCGCACAATAAGGTAGAAATTGATAAATCAAACCTTCCACGCGGAGATTGCAAAGCCTTTTTGTTTGGGGGTTGTATAAACCAACTGTCCCCAATCCACCTTACTCTTTTGAGTCTTTTTGCTTGGAATTGTTATACTATTATCTACTGTTATACCTTGTTCCTCTTGTTGAAATTTTCACTATGTTTCACTTTCAATCAAGAGGACAGGCGAGGACAGGAGTTGCTAAATATAGTTGCAAACCATAGACATGCACTTATAGGGATCCATTCCCAACCGCAGTCACTACAGGACTCTCATCCCTTGCCGACTCTCGTTCGTTTGTTCGACCGTTCACGCTGCCGTGGTCCAGGTGTGCGTCCTGGACGCTGCGGCCTGCGTGCGCCGCGCGCTCGCCGGCGACGCCTTGGGTGCGGTGGAGCTGCGGCCCGTGCACCACGCGAGGCGCGAGACGCGCACCGCTGGACGGCCCGGGCGGGAAGGCGAGGTTGGAAGGAACATGTCGGGGTCCACCAGTCCACCAGAATTGGGTATGTTTAAAGGATTTTTAAGGTATATTGGGGGATCCTCATGCTAATTCAGTGTGTTTTGTTCTTCGACGGTGCTAGGGTTTAATAACTATGTGTTAATTTAATACTAAATGGTACTGTAAATGCAGTAGAAACGTCCATGAATGGTATTTTGCACTAGTGAGACTTGTCAGAAACTCGTTATCACCGAGTGTGCTGCTATTGCTATTGTTTTTAAAAGCCCCACAAAACCTGGTCGACATGCCACGTATGGCGTTCGGTCCCTAATTCTGATTCCAAGATATTCCAAGTACCGTAACCGGAGACCTGACTGCTGCCCTTCCAAGGCCATGATGAAAGAAGAAGGACACTTTCACTTGTTTTTGTCGTGTTGTCTTTAGACCACTCCGCGAGCTGCCTATAACCATTTTTGACCTGGCCTCCGTGCGGACCTGGCCTGCGCGGCACAGGCCATCGGATGAGGAAGGACACTTGGCAAAGTTGGCGTTGCTGGTCGTCGGCGGCGCGTGATCAGCTAAATGAAGCAAGCTGAGGCAACCAAGCCCAGGTTCCCCAAGGGCGTAAGATGCATGGTGCAGCTTGCTTGGCACCCCACGCTCCGCTACTGGTTGTTTATGGAGGCTGGAAAACAGGCGGGGTCATGTGACTAGGTCATGGAGACAGAAGGGCCCGACAGACAAGACCAATTGTGTACTCACATATTAGTCTCACATAAACTGACCCCAGTACTGACCCCAAAAGCTGAACCTTGTGACACATTCTGGCAGTATGCGCACAGAACGGCACATGGATTTGAGAACATGGACATTCCACTTGCTCAAACTTAAATTTAGTATGCTCCAGACGTGTGTTTGTTTTTTGGAGGGGTTTGGTGTTCAAGCAGAACCCACAGGGATCCACAGGGTTTAAGTCATTCAATGTCATCCAGTTGAAGGTTGAAAAGCCTGGACGCCTCAGAATGATGCCAACGGCCTGGACCCCCATGGCCTGGACGCCAGGTGTTGGCAATGCCAGTTCATGGGAACTCCTCACGTGTTTCGCGGCGTCGTTGCAAGCGGGCCAATCCAAGTTCCTCGTCCGGTGGATTTGGTCGAGCCACTAGGACAGACGCAGGACAGTGCCACGAGATGCTCCCATGCAGGGGGACGCCGGTTTTGCAGTAAGGGCGCACTTGTCGAACTTTACACTTTCTCATTTGTCGTAGCAAGCAGTCGAGTTGGCAGCACCAAAAATAATGACCCTTTCATGGCCATTGACAGAAGCGAAACATATTCACGCATCAGAAACTCGAGATTCAACATATGGCGAGTCGTGCACATGGCGCGTCGTGACGGTCACTTCGAATTCGGACCACGGCAGCACTCTCGGCTCTCGCGTCACCGACCTCAGCACTCAGCAGCACCGTAATCCTCGAGCCGTCCACCCTCTTGTCGATGGAGCACGCACATGTCGCCAACCCCCTGTCCTGCACAGCGCGCAACGCGCTAGGGATTCACTGAATGCTTTGGCAAAGGTGCGAAGGGACAACCTCACGGCCCAGCATTGAACACAAAACATGTGATGTGACGAACGAGTCGAACAACGGTCGCGAAGCCAGGCTCGGCGCAGGTTTGACAGCAAAGCGCTTGGTAACTTCTCACACCGTACTCCCCAGGTGGGAAGGGAAACAATCCTGGACGAGTTTCATGTGAACGCACGAGAAATAGATAGAAATAGGCACAGCATGGCAAAGCTAGACACCTCCAAAAATGTTCTTCAGGAAGACTGTTCCTGAGGAAGCCTGTTTGGGTGTGCATTTGGCTAGGGAGATCTTCAACCAATCTTAGTCTTTTAGCGTATATCGTCATTCTTCCATGGATGTCCATGGGTTTTTTTGGGGAGGTCTCCCTAATTTAATACTCACCCAATTACTCGCCCATTTCCCTCTTCCACACCGTTTGGGTTCGATCTGGTTCGATGGGCCGTCACTTCGTTCGATGGCAGGCCCTCACTTCAGCGACGTTTGGACCTTTGCGCTGGGAGCGGATGAACGTGACTTGGAGGCCGGGCATGCGCCAGCCATGGCAGGGCGCCAGTTTTTTCGGTGCTACTGCTGGCTTTGGGTGGCGAAGGAAGGAAGGGATCGGAAGATGCACCAGTTTGGAGATGTTTCTCATTCTTGGTCAACAGGTTGACGGCCCCTCTTAGAAGCTGAACATGGTCACACTTAGGTCGGGTTAAGAGCAATTTAAAGACAAAGAGTCTCTTAGAGACTCCAACTATAGTCTACTACCCCAATCTTGGTCCACGTCGACGTTCCTGATATGGGGCCGGACCGAGGACTCCAGAGATCCCAGAGGTTTGCGCTTGGCAGGGGCTCAAATGGCTGTGGAATACCTCGTTTGTTGGCCTACAGCATCATTAATTGTTCGGTACGCAAAAGTGTCCCACTGGATTTGGGAGGAAAACACAACTGTGACCCCACACTGCCCACACCCTTACATGAATGCGGCAGATGCGGAAAGTGACTCTCGGTCAAGTCAACAAGTTTTAGCATGCCGTTATGGCATGATGCTCGATGGATCACCATAAGGTCGATTGTTCCACAAGCAACCTGCTGGCGGAACGCCCAAACTGTGCAAGTTGGAGACCAAAACAACGTCACGCCGCAAACAACCCAATTCATGGAAACCCAGTGGTGTTGATTGTGATTGATTGGCCGTCGGGGGCCGGTTCTTTTCACTTCTGATCACCTACAGCCTGAGAGATGCGCTGGATGCTTTTGGATGCTGGTGTTTCGGCTCGGAGGCGTCGTCCAAACCCCGCCCAGCCGGAGCGGAGCGGGAAAGCGGAGCGCCCAATCCCAAGCGATGAGATCCAACGCCTCCCCTAGTCATCGTGCTCGCTCGGGCTTGGTGGCCAGTGGTCGGGCTTCCCTGGCACGAGGGCCTGACTCACGGAGGACGGCTAGAGGTGGGGATCTCCAACATGGGGCTGAAGATGGAATAAAATTGGCCTAACTGTTGCTGTTAGGACTTTTTGATATGAATTGGTCCGACTGTTGGTGGGTTCTTCCAACCAGACACCGAGGCGACAAGAGCGACCGAGGCGATGCCCGGCCTCGTGAAGATCGCGGGCCGGGCACGGCCTCCACGGCGGCCTCCAGCCGTGCCGCCTCCGAGCAGCGCCGCGCGCGGCCGGTCCCCGTGCCGGTCCGCGGCGCGGCGCCGGTGTCGGCGCCGGTCCGAGCCGGCCGCGGGCGGCCGGGACCGGAGCCAAGTGAGGTCAATGATGAAGACTTCGCATTGGCACTGCTTGAGCAGGACGACGATCAAGGGTGTTTTTTGGGGGGGCTCATGAATGATGAGTTTCAAGCAAGTATTGCATGATGACATATATAGATTATATAGATGTGTTAAGTATATTTATATATATATATACAAATATACGATGCTATACACAGTTCGAGTTTGAATTATGCAATCTAAAATATGCATAGTTCACCAACAAAACAGCCAGCGATGCCATCTTGCCTGGGGGCTTCAACAGGGAAACTGGTGGTTTGAATATAGTAATTAAGAGAGGTCCCGCCGGGCCGGTTCCCTGTTTCAAACACCAGTTTCCAGGTGTTTGAACTGGTCTTCCCACAAAGTCTCCCCTGTCGCAGGACTTGCAGGAGGCTGAAGCTCGGGAAGCTCGAGCCGCCCGAGAGGCCCGCCATGCAGCGCGCGAGGCCCGTCATGCAGCGGAGCAGAGGCGTCCGAACGGAGCATCCTTCGATGAGGATGAGCTACTGGCGATGATGTTGGCACTGACCCAGGTGCAGATAGCTGACTGAAAAGGTGGAATGAGGTGGAACAAATAAAGGCAGTAAGGCACTCATGCATCATGGCCATCACCTGAACATCAGCCCTCATGATCTTGAACTTTCTTGGCAACTTCCCAACAAGGGGGTCCGACCGACGCCCCCTTGATGGGGTTGTTTCCTTCCAGCCAGTGCCTTGAGGTGCAGGCTGAAGAGAGGGACCTCCAAAACGCCATGGAGCTGAGCCGTGACCCCTTTCCTCCGCACGCGATCACGGAGGCCGCGGACGAGGATCGGCTGCAGCAGATTCAACGGCAATCGCTGGTGGAGGCCATCCGTGCGCAGCTTCCAGTGACCCCTTGGGCCAAGGATGCTGAAGCTGAGACATGCCCCTTGTGCCTGGAAGAGTATTCTCCAGGAGACAGCGTGATGCGCTTGACTTGTTTCCATGCCTTTCACAAATCATGTCTAGATCCGTGGCTGGATAAGAACCCCACGTGCCCTTCCTGCAAGCTCGATTTGTGTGACCTGCGATGATGGGCGCTCTGTGTACAGTTACTAGTAGGGGCCTGAAGTCGCAGAACACCGGTGCCTTCTCGAAGCAGAGCACAGTACTGGAAAAAGAGAGCACGGGTGTCTCCTGTGCCCTCACAGAGGCAGTTTGCCGAAGCTGGTAGGATTCTGCCTGCAATGACCATAGTCACGAAGCGTATCAATGCTGCATTTGTTAAACCTTTTCGGGATCACCAGTCTAGAGCGTTTGGAAAGGATTGAGACTTTCTGAGGTTGTGGGTAGCTCTTTGGTTTTTGTCGGGTCGAGCATGGTAGAGCCCGTTTTGCATCTATGGCGTAGAGTATGGCATGGTATGGTGTTTGGTAGGTCTCTTTGAGTTGCACCTGGTGCTCGTCCATGTCCCCTGGTTTTATTGGCTGACGGACGTGAATGATCTCGCCCGCAAGGCTTTCCAGCCAGTAGAGCAGCAGAGTTTGGAAGAGGAGGATGGCGGCTTGTTGGCACAGAAACTGTGCAGGGGAGGGGCCAAGGGCGGGGGGCCGAAGCATCCATGATTGTGCTATTTAAAGATTGCTTGCTGGACCCCCTGGTTTCTGGATGGATGTTATATTCCCATATATTCCCAAATCTTCCTAACCAACCAATTCTTGCAGTTTTCTTCTTGCCTTTTGAAGCAAGGCTCACATGACGAGTGTCTGAGGAGATGATATGCACGAGTCTCCTGTGGTGGGCGTGCGCATGATGGGACCAGATGGGCAAGCAGCTTGGCTTGATCATGTTTGATCCAATGCAAGACCCAGGTGTGCTTTGAGATTTTGCAGAGTTGCCAAAGCTTTATATAATCTCTTGCACCTGATGTTATACTATCAAAAGTTGCCTATTTAGGAAGGGAACTTCTGTTAAACTAAGCACGCCAAGCTTTTCTGTGGCACAGGTTGGTGAGTCCAAAAGTGAAGACAATACACGGCACCCCTTTGAGAGAAAGGAGTTCAAAAGACAATGCAAATTCATACAGGAATTGCAATGCAAAACTTGTACGTGTGGTCGCATTAAGGTGAGGATGATGCGAATTCCGAGCGAGCTGTTGCAACTCGATTGATGCATAGATCATGCAACGACGATGGGTTCGTTGTGTTTTCCCTACAACTTGTTGCCAGATCGCTTGATCTACTGGAAGTTTGTGTGAAACGACCGCATCCCAAACACTGTATAACGCTGTATCCATCTCAATCAGCTGGACTCATACACTGAAAGCTAGGTGCTGGATCTCACTCAGCTGGTTGAGATGGCACAGACCTCATGATGTCCCTTACATTGAGGTTCAAATATAAGCCACCTCTTGGGGTTTGTGCCATCTACTCTCAAGCCACTATATAATGTTATCCTATTATCCACCTTTATAGGAATGCTTTTGCTACACATCAAGTGTCAATGCTTGCATGTGTTGGAATGCACTAGCCATATTTAGCCATCCCAGCCTTGCGAAAACCCATCATTGAGGTCCATTTCTGAAGGCACCTGGTGCCTTTCACCAGCCCAAGCATACTGCAGGAGCCAGTTTGTGCGCCAGGGAATGGTACGACGAGTTGGATGCTGGGTCGCATGGCAACCCTCCCATCAAACCATATCGAACCCTTGGTGTTTGTGAGGCATGAGGGCTTGAGGCTATGATATTGTATGTGATTATGTTGAGGTAGTGCCCTTTTTTGTATGGCTGCGGCTCAGCATACCATGGGCTGGTTTGGGGCTTGGATAGGTGCCGGGTGAATCAAAACCTGAAGAGCGTGTCAGTGACTTGGAGTGGCCGCCGGTCTCGTAGGCCCGACGAGCGGGTTTCAACATATCACCTTGAGAATTGACATAGTCTTATCACCTATGAATAACATATTACTGTATCACCTATAACATATTATCACATGAATTTCGAATTGACTAAGCTGTCACGGGGAGGATTGAGGTTCCCATTGACTTCGTCTCTTTGTCTCCACGGGTTCCCAGGTCGGTCGGGTTCAGGGTCCGGCTCGGGGGTCGGTCTGGCTCTGGCCGAAGGGCTTGGACTCGCCTGGGTGGCTAAGTGGCTTAGGAATTTCTCGACCAGCCACATGGTCTAAGGAGCTGAGTCTGATGACTGAGATTGTGGCAAAGAGCTCTCACAATCCATGTAAATAGTTAGGGAGTGGGTCGAGAGGCATCGACAAACTTAGCGAACTTGGATTCCACAGTCCATCACTTGTGAGCCTTGCAGCACTGAAAACTTTCATTTTGCTTTGGGTTATGTAAGTCATCCAGCAGGATCCTAGAGGCACAATCTGGGACGCTTTACCGCCAAGGAGCGCCTGGCAATCGACCCACATCCCATAGTAAGAAGTCATTTTGGACATCCTTGGACTGGATTTGCTTGACTTTCTTGATCAAGACTGGAGATAGCCTGGTGGAAACTGCTCCATTCCGATGCCCAAGGAGGTGATCAGAATTTTCAATCGCACGCCCTTCGTAGTTGCAGTGCGACGTTTGAGCTTGAGGAAATAAGAAGCGGAACATGTTGGCAGAAATGTTGAGGCTGCATGAGGCTGCCGGGACGTCAAAAAGACTCTGTGATCCGGGCAGCACGTGTTTATGTGAATAGTGCTATGGAGTTATTCTCAAATATAGATTGTTGAACTGCACTCCCAGTTCCCCCACTTAAGAGCGGCCAAAAAGCTGGTGTGAACCTTTAGGACACACTGCTGGCTGAGAAACACCATACATAATATACAATAACTATATATAATACCAATCAAAAATATATATATATATATATTAGGCATACATTTATTGGAACATAGGACGAAGAATGCTTGACCTTCGTGGCTTAACACCAATTTCAACATGTTTGTACTTGAGCCAGAGAGCGAGACTTCCTGTTGTGAGAGTGCTCGTAGGTGATGCTGGTAGTGTGGCGGAGAGCTATTTCCCCCAGAGTAAGGCAAAACAGTCAGGCAGGCGAGACATGATCTGAACTGTCTCTGGGTATATGTCATTTTTCCGAGTATAGTAGATGACAGAAACCCGGCCGTGTACAAAACATAAAGTTACGGTACATGAAATCACTTGACTTACTCATGGTTTTCGGGTTGCCCATTTATTTGTTTAATACTGCCTGATTAGACGAATCACTCCTGGCCCAGGTCTCTCTGGAGAAGAGCCTCAGGCGAAAATTCCGTCAGATCCTGCGCACGTGGTGATGAACATCAAGGTCTCATCAAAAATAACATCAATGTTGGGATTGTTGTCAGAAAGTTGAAATGGTGTGGAGATGGGGATGTGCAGGGCAAAAGAACAATCTTGAAGATGACATCTCAACTGGAAGAACCACTGGATTTCGTGGTGGTGGGAAGCTGTGTCTTTCTGATATGGGTGTCGATGTAGAACTTGTCCATCAAGAAATTAAGAGAGGTTTGGATTTTAGTTCTGCCAAGAGAGCTGAGCTCATGAAAGGGTGTTATTGTGGCTTGAGGCGAAAAGACCGGCATTTTGGGGGAGTGAAATGGGCGAAACGCGCTCGAAGTCAAGCTTCTAGCCGCTTCACAGCTTTGGAAGGCCCACCGGAGTCAAGGTACAAGCTTGGCTGGGGATCTGACGATGAATCACATGTGCTTAAAGATATGGTGTGACGTTCCTGAGCTGCCGGGCTTTGGTCAATTACCCTCCCGGAAACAATCATGGAAGTGGAAAACTAACCACCGGTTTGTAGAGGAAGACAGTCTTCCAAGAGGCCATGTTCCACTTCCATGATTGTTTCAGGAGTGTATTGGGCAACATTTTTTGGCGGTATAGCTGTTTTGGTCCAAGTCCGAGACTGAAAGGTTGGTGTCCCTGTGCAACTTGCCTCTTGCGGGGGAAAAAGGGTGGGGAGAACGTGGAGGAACTTGGCCAGCTTGCTCGCATGACATGAAGCATCAAACATGACGGGAAGACCGGCCAAAACATGATGGAACCAGGAAATCATCCAAGTTCGCCAAAACTGGACACAAACTGATAATATGCACCCTATCCAGTTTGTGCACAAGTTTGTGTCAAGAATGATAGGGTGCCAGTGCCAAACCACTCACCTTTTGTTCCTCACCCAGCCCAAACCAGGCGCCCGAACGACGCCGAAGGCGCGAGGGTTGGTTTACACCGACGTTTTGGGGTGTGGGTCTGTGGGTCTTTGTGTTCGACATGCATGGGATAGACCCAAACCCTATTCCTATCATCCACTGGGCCCCGGGCCTAAGGCATCAAATAGACCCAAAGCATGTGGTCTAAAACCTACGAGTCCACGACTAAGTTGGTTTAATATGTTTAACACACGGTCCTTTAAAGAGTCCGTCTTCCTTGCGAGGAAGGTGATGCTCGTGCTTGTTTTGAGTTGTGTCTTTGTGTTGTGGCGGTGGTGCTTGTTGACTGTCATTGTTGTTATTGCAGTCGTTATTTGTTTAAATTGTGAATTGCCAGAAACAACCATCACAATAACGGCGTTCTCCTGTGGTTTGTGGCAAGTGATCATTCTCCCCCTTGTGGTTCCTTACTTCACGCCGAACCGCGCCCGTGAATTGGATCGCTGGAGCTCCGTGCCTTGGGCGGTGGAACAGTCCTGGTTTTGGAGGATGCTCCCGCCCGGTTTGTGCGTGGTTGGGCGCACGCACCCTACCAACTCCAGGCCAAACAAAGATCAAATGATTTGATCAGACCATCGGGTCAACATCGAATCGAATTATATAACCAGCCGGGTGAGGGACGGTCAATTGTTAATTGTCACGTCTTGGCCACTGTTGAACAACAGGAACCATAAACATCCCATGTGAAAGTTGGATCCCACACACGATGGCAGGTGTTAGCAGCTAGCATATATAGTCCTTCAGTATCCTTCAGTCATGTTTGAACCTCGGAAAGCATCACTTTTGGTTGGGCGAACCTCGCGTACGGTCCTGTGGAGCCTCAGCAGAAGCAGCCCAGCATGTCGCAGCTGAGCTCGTTCTGTGGCACCGGTGAGGTGAAGATGAGAAGGAAGAGACATGAGGACATGAGACGGCATCGGGGATAAAGACATGGACTCGCTTGACTGAGAAGGTAGGCACAGAAAGAACAACATGCACAACAGCATTAAACAAACAATATATATATTATATATATATACTTGTATGTTTCCTCAAGCTAGAGGCAACTCATTTTGCGCACGCAGTTTGGAGAGGCCAACGAACCATGGGAGACTGTGATTCCCCCGATGGTGTTCTGTAGGTTTTTTGAGGAATTTTGCAAGTTAGTCAGTGTTTTTTCCCCCGATGTGTTCCCTGTGCCGCAGCGAGGACGGAGGCTCACAGGCCAAAGAGTTCGGTGTGCACCAGTCGCAGGCGCCCGGACGAGCGAAGAGCGTCGGAAACGAGCGTCGACCGGTCAAGCGAGTGGGGCGGGAGAGCGAGCTCCCTTGTTTCGTACATGGAAAGCAGGGCAGAAAAATGTGGAAAAGGTGGAACACCTTAACAGTGCAGGTTTTCTTGAGTATAGGACAAATAGTTATACAGATATAGACATAGACTTAATTAACACCAACACGCTGCATCTCGTGTTGGTGTTCTTTGGGTGGAAGGTGCCACCCACTTGGGTGGCACATGTCTTCTTGCTTTTAACCTGATGGAACTGTGGAAGAACTCGGGTTGTCGTTCGCTTGGACCTCACAGGACTGCTTAAGTTTGGGACTGTTCAGTGGGGGCCCAAGAAGGGTGATGGTTACTGGCACTGGTGAGAGCTAGCAGTATATTGTAATGGGTGTGTCCCAGCGCCAGTAACAGTCGGTAAAAGATTATCTCGATTCTTGAGAAGGGCCTTTACTAACCATGTTGCTGGTAAAAGGATATTGATATACCATGATGTACCCATATATATATTATAGAACCATGTTCTTCAACAAAATGCAGCCAGATCTCACGGGGAGGCAAATCCCACGTCCAACGGTTTCATCCCCACGTTCTTCGACCACCTCAGTTCACCTTGGGGAGGGACGGTGTCCGCGCGATGAGGGACACCGCGGCCCGCAGGTCTCAGCAGCGTTGATGACACGTGGCGCCAACTCTCCGGCGGCCCCCGAAAAGAAGCGGCACCGCCCGCGACGGCTGCCCCGTCAGAGGGATGGAGATCGAAGACGGTTTTCTTCAGGTAAACACCACTGGGAAAAGCACTCCGGTCTTGGGATTTGATTGGTCGCAAAGGATCAACAGCAGAAGAATCAACAATGAAGAAGGTCACAGTTGGCAAACTGGAGCAGATCTGGATGGCGCATGATGTGCATGTGGCACAGGCTGCACAGCCTTGGGGTGCCAGGGGTGCCATCCGCCAAGTACCTTCCCAGAAGTCTTGTTTGAAGCTAGACATGTGTTATAGGCCCTGAAGGCTGGGAAGCAAGGCCGCCAGAGCTCAAGAAAATAATGCATGTCAATGCCATGAGCAAAAGCTGTCAATTCTTTTTGGGGGTTTGCCAAGTATATATATATATATATATGCATGCAGCAATTGTGTCCTTGGTCGTTGAAATCTTAGCAGTCAGGATGAATTCTTCTCCCATTCTGAACATGATGGTGGATCGTCATTTGGCCGGTTTGGCAAGGTTTGGCCCATGTTTCTTCAAGGACTGGTCGTTGTCAAAGTTTGCACCGACAAGTGGGATAGTTGTCAAATGCTGCATCCCGATGAATCCTGGACTTGCCGTCGATGAGTCATGATGAGTCGACTTCCACGATGATGCTCCATGCGATGAGTAGACTTCCACGTCGTGTGTTTCGGCGCGCGAAATTTCGCACCAAAAACTTTGTCCTCGCTATGTCAGGGTTTAGTTCAGCGCAGGTGTCGACGGCCAAAGAGCACGTTGAACCGTTCAGGGCTCCCCAAGCGGTGTTCGACCTGGGGATGGTTCCACTCAGTCTTCAAGATTCAAGTCTGGCCATGTAGAGAACACGAAGTAGCAACAGTACCAGTTCGGTCGACCCTGCCCTGACGTTTCACCTCTTATTCCCGCTGGCGCCATGGAACCCGACTTTGCGGAGTTGCAGGAGCCTGAATACTTCCGAGTTCGAGTGGTTCTGCATGTTGGGGGGGGTCTGCTCTCCGAGTGTTGGTGGCTCAACGCGGTGCTTCAGCTGAGCTGCGGAACAAAACCTCCAGTGTTGGTGGAGCTAGGGACCTAGGCTAGGCAACCTTGGGGTACGGGGCCCCATCTACTAGCTGTGGTCCCATGGCCCATTCAATGTAATGTCCCCAGAATCCTTGTTTACGTTTGTTTACTATATAGGCTTGCATTGATATCGGAGGGGATTGATTTACACCTGCGAATTGTCTTTTCACATTTTACCAGGCACAGACAAAAGTGGCACTCTTTTCCACACACTTGGCCCCGTCCGCAGGATCAGGAATTGGGACCCCTGCGGGAAATCCCAGCCTTTCAGCCGTTTCAGCCACGGTTTGCAGGGGTGTTTTTGCCAACCCCCGGCAAAGGGGTCATCACCCCGAAGGGAGGGACTCCTCATCCCGTGTCGCAACGCACGTGTCGCTGGTTCGCCTCGTTTGGTCGTTGGAGGCGATTTTGGCGGGCTTGCCCATGCATGCCATCCCACGGGACCGAAGTGGCTTCGGTTTGCGGAGTTGGACGAACGGAGGACGAAGGGAGGGTGGTGTGTTGGCCCAAGGGCCAAAATAAGAACAAGCTGCATGGATGGCCTTTGACGGCCTTGGTTGATGAATAGAGGGGATGTGATGAACCATGATAAATCCCCAAGTAAAGAAACATGAAGAACCAATAGGTACATGGTACATACTGACAAGCTCCCATGGCACGTCGGTTTGACGATTGTGTTTTTTCTCCCTATGGGGAGGGCGAGCTATGCTTGTTCCTCCTACAATACAGAGAATCAGTTTGCAAATCTCCTTTTGATATTTTGAAGAGTTTTCAGGAGTTGTGTTTACTTGGAAATGTTTGAAGTGGCCCTCTAACATGTCTGAAAGACTTACTGTGGGAAGGGCTATCTTTTGTAATGGGGGTGCAGATGGGTGGTCCAATCAAGCTCTAATGCTGGATTCCCGTGGAATTTGAATTACTATGACATGCTCTATTATTTTGCTTTGCTCAGCTCTGTTGCGTTGTTTTGAACAACACGGAGATGGATGTGTTTGAGTATCCTGGACTTGAATCCAGTGGGGGCTTGTCGGCAAAGCTCCTCCAGCAATCCATTTGATAAGTTCAGTTTGTTCTGGCCAGAGTGTTTCTATGCAAGTGTTTGTTTCCAGGTTTTCGCATTCTCATGCTTACTCGTGGCTTGGTACTAGTCCTGCGAGCCGGGTCGGTCAGCTGTCAAAGACGGGGGCTTGCCGCCCTCTTTTCACCGATGGGATCGGTGGAACGTGCCCCGTGACCGGTCTTGACCGAGGGGAGCCGGTGGCGGCCGAAAGCCTTCCTCACGGATCCATGTGAAAAGGTCACCATTTGCATCATACTTGGCACGATGAAAAGGATTGCACGTACTCCATGACATGATCTCTTGCTTGGAAGACCTCTCTCTTTGTCTAATAGGGCACCGTTTGATCTTCGGTTTGCATGGGCAATCTGTTGAACTTGTCGTCCATGGGAGATAGCAGCACAATCGCAGCACAGACGCGTCGTTTTTTTTGTACTCCATCATCCTCCATCGAGTGGGGTGCCTGTGGTTTACTGGGGCGCACTCGGAACGACCTTCGCCAGAAGATTTGATTTGACCCAAACACTCCATGGGACTGGCATAGTTGACGATCAGGCCAGGGCCAGGGGCTCTTGAAAAGGAGAGTCCGGATCGCCTCACCATGGGGGACTACCTCAACTACTCGAGCATGAATGACCCTTATGCCTCAGGTGCATGTATAGTGAATGATAGTAAATGGGACGGCATCTCTCTCCTCCTGTCCCACGGAGCGACGGAGCGCCTTTGCCGCGGCTCTCGGCCGAACGAGGTTGTGGTGCTGATAGCCTGTTGCCGGGGCTCTCGAGGGAGATCCATGGGTCGCGAAAACAGAGAGCAGAAGGAATGAGTTGGGAAACAAAAAACAGGAGGATAGAGGGACGGGAACCATTTACATAGATTTGCCCTGTGAATAGTCATCCAGTAATCCATCTAGTTGCTGAAGAGCATGAATAAGTCACTTGACCAAAAGGAAAAAATATGAAAAAAGCAACAATCTCAAGCCTCGGAACATCTCGGAACCACTTTTTGTTGAGGGTCTCAACAAGAGAGAGAGAGAGAGAGAGAGAGACAGAGATATATATATATATATATTTGTTAAACATGAGTTGACTCTTCACATCTTGCTTGGTCAACCTTCATCCTCCGCACGACCGTCTTCTTTCTTCGTGCGCCCCATGTGGATGCTTGCTCGTCGCTCGCCATCTTCTCCGAACATCGGAATCATGGGCGATGTCAAGGTGCCGATGTGCAAACCCCATCACACCCACGGCCATGAACCCCCCAAACCATGTCACCAAGCTTTCTGGAAGATGGTGGCACAGAAGAAGAATCGAAGATGGTGGCACATGTTGCACCAAGTTCGAATTGCACCTGTATTGACATAAGTGCATGATCAGCCCCAACCTTTCCAGGTGTCCCACTTAGTCCGAGACCCGGTGCTCGACCGGTGCTCCGCTCAGGTGCCGCGGCCCCCGGAAGTTGGACGTGGACATGGAGACGTGCCGACGCCGGGTGAAGGAGAGCCGGGCAACTCTGGAAACGCCGGGTGTAGATCCGCATGGGGTGGGTAGGAAATGAGAGCGACTCGATGTTCACCGAAAACAGATGCCATAGGTCATCATAGGTCATTAGGTGTTGGGAGCCGCTCACATTTGCGATAAAAAACCTAGGACCTAAGATATGTTAAAGATACTTTCAGGCCAGCGGTGGATCGCGCAACAAGTGGTGGATCGCGCATGTCCACGATGCGTCGCCATGCTCCAGGAGCTGATCGTGCTATAGGTTCAAGATATGATTTGCTCTTTTAGCCCCTTTGCCTCACTGGGTCTCTACAAGCTCTCAAATCCAAGCGGCAAACCCCGTTGTGTTTTGCGGAGAGCGCCGTCCTGTTTGCGCTGGAGGCCAACCTGAACCAGGCTGCCCGCGAGTATTACTCGCACGAGCAGCTCCAGCGCCTGACGGTGGAGTTTGCCAGTGAAGAGCTCGGACAAAAACGCCGAAAACGGTTTGGGATGGTTTGGGTGCATGTGAGGAGACCACCCGAACAAAGGAAATGTCAACAACAATGATGATCCAGGTCCCTTCTAAATCATTCTACTGTATATATAAAATTATATAAATCCTGCCTTTTCTAGTTTGTGCCTTTAGTGGGTTCCCCCTCTTATGATCCACACATGCAGGGTTCACGTAGAGCCCAAGGGCCCAAGTAGGGATGCACAAGTGCCTATAGCCTATAGTTGTGCAAGCAACATCCATTTCATTTGTTGCCATCATCCATATCGAGGGGTCTTTTGAGGAGCTTGGCGCAGAATTCACTCGAAAGACTCGAAAGAGCTGTGGTATCCCAAAAGTTGGAAGCAGCAGCAGTTTCGGAGTGACCCAACAACCTCCTGGCAGGACCTCGTTATCCTCGTCTGGGCTTTGTATCTCTTTGGACGTCTTGCTGCCAGACAAGGGTCGTCCCAGGGGAAGGTGTTCAGAAACATTGCACTCACATGTATAGTTACAGGACCAAGAAGAGATCGAACAAGTCACTGTCCCATTTACACACTGAGGGTTACCCTTTTGCGGTTCCATGGGCTCACCCGATCCCCTCCCTCAGCTCTTTGCATCTTCGCACGGGCACGAGGTCTAGACCTGGTCTGCTTCGTGGATCACCAAGAGAAGCGGCTCTTCGCCGCCGTACGGGGGACCAACGTCTCCCTGAACCCGCTCACCGCCCCAGATGCATCTCGGCTCGTTCCAAGAGTTCCATGTGTCTGAGGGAATGATTGAGCACCTTCTTGCATGCAGCATATCCGCTGGAGGGAGTTGTTTTTCTCTCAGCAAATCTGAAAACAGCAGAGCATGATGCTTACGCAGAAAACGGTGCGCATTAAACGACATTGAGAATCGGCTGATGTAGGACATTGTAGACCATAGCTTGTGACATCTTGTGACAATTGTGCTGCTAAAGCGTTTTTGTGGGGGTTCAATTTCTCAGTACTTTCTGGGATTTTCTGGGCTTTATTTCAGTGTACAACTGGGTGATTGACAGGTTTGGGATGCACATCAGTCGTTCAGCCCAGTCGCAGGCCGCAAAGGAGACCTGATGTAGGATCCAGTGAAGCGTGCTGGCTGAGGACATGACCAGCAATATGCATATCATGCTGGGCTATGGCCTCTTGGCAGCTTCGTTCTCCGCAGAGCATCAGAGAACTTTGCGCAACCTTGGGAGGGATATCCTGGAAGCTGATTTGTGGTGAGATAGATTATCTTTATAAAGGAGTGAAGTGTCTGCTCGCCCATGCCTTGCACCACTGAGACCCACCCAGAGCACATGGTACTGTGAAGGAGTACTTGGCCGTGCGCCGGCGCTTCGAAAACTATGCCACTTGGAATCGGGCAGTGATGAGATGGGGTCTGGCCAGATAGGAGGTGCTGAGTTTGAAGGACATCGAGAGACTGGTGGTGGCTCTAGCAAGTTGATAGGTTTTTGGGGGGGTGGTGGCGGTCAATACATTATATATATATTTATATATAATAATAAATATCATTACATACTGTATACCTGGAGACTCGGAGGCTGTGGTTACGGGCAAAAATGCCATTGCCAAGAATACGTCTTTCGGGGTTTCTGAAGTAAGCTGGGCCAAGTGGGAGTGGGGCAAAGCCAACCAGAGAAGTCACCAAGAACCAATCAGCAAATCCTCCGAAAGCCAGGGTCGTTCAGGGTCAAGCAACCTCAAAGAGAAAGGAACAGAACACAACGTACTCTCCCTCCAACATCCTCATTGAAGTGGATTGCCCTAGGCTAGCCTAGAAAGACCATGAAAGCCGAATACCAAGGGAAACGGGTTGGAATTCACTCCGCGAAACCATTGGAGGGAGGGTCATCATTGAAGGTTTGGAGGATCAAGCTAGCGGGCCATGCCAGGCTTGCGGGTACCTGCAGACTAACATGGACACCAGACCACTGGTTCGTGGAGCAGATCAGTCCTTGCCCTCCAGAAAGGTCATGGAAAAGGGACCAGTCTTCAGGTGGCAAGGGATTTGCTAGCAGCGCTTGAGCTGGGGACCACATCGGATTTGGGGAAATTGGTCGTTCTCAGTCGACGACACTTCTTCGATGTACACCTGGTGAAAGTCTCACGCACCAGGGTCAGGGAAGGAAGGGTGATTTCAAGTGTGTCAAGAATGCAAACAGCTGCAAATTGTTCTTTTGGGGAATCATTCCTCCATATTTGCTTCCCCAAGAGACGCTACTAACTAGGTCGATCACGTCCATCTCATCTACTAGATCGGCTTTGGAACCGCCACCCCTCGGTCACCTTCCGAGGTCCCCTTTGCCTGTGGCCATTCGCTGGGTGGCGCGGTGGTTTTACACCTAGCGCCTCGGTCGACGAACGCCGCGCCGAAACCGAAACCGGGACCGTCCTGCGAATCGCAGCCGATGTCGGTGCGGCTTCCGCTGGAGACGGTAGACGGTAGACGGTGGACCTGAACGTCGGACTAGACGTTCGTGTTGTAAGATGGTCTCGTTCGAAGGTAACGAGTGCTTTGAGTTGTCTCCTGTGTTTGGAGTGTTGTAAGAAAGTCTCAAGAGAACACATGGGCTTGCATTGAATCAATGGCTTCAGCAACCCCTCACAACCCCCTGGGAAACCATGCGAGATCAAGAGCTATTCACACTTCAGGGATTTGCAAGGGATTTCCTTAGAGTGACTTTGAAGGACTATGACTCTCTATGACTATTGTTTGAAGAATCCCCCTATTCAAGAATGTCCCACTGTCGCAGCATGAGGGAAACCCAAAGTCAGACATGTCCCTTTATTGGGAGACCTCCGTGTTTGGACCACCCCATTCGCTTATCGACCCGACATGGCGAAGGACACATTGGATGATGTTCGCTGGATTCGCCACGTGGGTTGGGTAAGGGTCGCCAGCATCCAAAATTCTTCTAGAAATGGCTTCTAGAAGATAGCAACTGGAACCAAACCCTCCAAACCCCTGCCAGTGTTTCCATTTTCCAAAGTACACTTGTGGTAATGTCCGACCCGGTTTCGTCAATATCCTTCGACCAGGCGCGGGCCGTGGAGGACTCTCCAAAGACTGCCTTTGCCAGGGTCGATGTTTTCAACACAGCCGCCCGTCCAGTAATGTTGGGGGTCACCATGAGAAGGGCGTCAACCGATTTAGGTGGGTTGCCATGTTTGTGTGCGTGTTTGTGGCAGTTTGTGGTGTTATGTTTGTTGTTGTTGCTGTTTTTTTTTTTGCGTAGTCTTGTGTGAGTTGTTTGTTGTGCTTTGCTTGCGGAGGGTTTTCGCTCCTGGCGCGGTGACGAGCAGAATCCAGTGAACCCCATCATGCCAAAGAGGGGTATTCAAAAGTGTTGTGATGACTATTTCCCAGAAAGCTCATGAAAACAGCAACAACAACAACAAGACTCAACCAGAAAGGAGAACTCAGAACCCTCGGAGAGAAAACTGCAAAACACAAACAAATTTACTCGACACTCAAGAAACAACTAAGAAAGAAACATAAAACTATTTAAACAGTTATTGTTTGGAGTCTCTTTTTTGGTCGTTTTTGATGTGTTTTTGTAGGATGTGTTATGTATTTGTTGTTTCTTTGTGCATTTTTCTTTCATGAGCTTGACTGTTTTGACAAATTCCATGTCACAACAAAAGTGGATGCTAAAATCCATGTAGATCCAGTTCAACCATGTTCAACCATGTTCAACCAGCAAACCACACTTAACCAATACATCGCAACCGTTTGTAATCAATTTGTTTAACGACAAACACCACACTCACAGTGTTCACGCTCTTGCTACTTCAGTCGTCTCGAGGCAGGATTTCATGGTGGCATGATCATGAGTTTGCTCAGCCAGAGACTGTCTTTAAGAGTTTTATACAAACATCAGGTGTTGTGGCTTCCAGACAAGAAAAAACACTCTGAGTTTGAGGCCACCTCTCCTTTGTCTTTTCCGCCGGTGGTGCCGGAAAAGACACCGCTCCATGTCCATCTCGTGAAAGGGGACGCTTGGCCTTTTGTTTTAGGGCAGCTAAGACGGTTCTTTGATCGGTTGTCTTTCCATTATGGTGTGACTGAGAAGGTGTACACGGAAGCTGTTTTCACGTTGTCACAGGCGTTTGTCATGGGAGACGAACATGAAGCAAGCTCACGCATGGAGTTAGATAGATCGGTGAAAGACCGCTTGGCACTCCAGTGACGTCACCATCCGTTGGTCTGCACGACTCAGGGCCATGGGGCCCTGCACTGCTGTGATCTCAGGGCCATGGGGCCCGGGGGGTGTAACTGAACTGTGATGTGCTGTTTGTTAGTGAGAGACTTACCCGCCACATGGACCCCAACCCCGTATGAGTCTTGAACTATTACAATTACCTTGTTTTTCTTCTCTAATGCAAGCTTGGCCTGGTGAAAAAATCTGGGTATGTCCACAATGGGTATGTCCGGACTCATCCCTTCTTGGGCACCACCTTCAAGTGCCGGTCGACCGTGACATCTCTCAGGATTGGGCATCTTTACCCTTGCAGGGCAGCAATAGCGGCCTTGGGTGCCAGGTGGGGCCAAGGACCCCCAGGATGGATGGAGGAATTAGGCCGATCTAAATAGATCTAATCGAAATAGTTTCGAGTTGTGTCCAGGATCGTCAACTGGCGTGACTCTTTGCACCAGAGGAAATATCGATGGACGTACTGAGAGAGAGAGAGAGACACACTGTAGATGTCGATCAGCTGGGCTTGTTCTGCGGGAGTGGGTAGCTTATTTAAAGAGCCCTTCATGTAAATAAACAGCAACTATGCAAGAATCATTTTGGGAAAACTGTACCTTGATGTTTTTCTACAAAAAGAGAGAGGTTGAGGCCCTTACACAGGGGTCATTTTGTAGCGAGGCAGTTTTTGGCAACTACAGAACCCCATTGTGTAGAGTCAAAACTGTGTTCAGATATGATGATACAAATAGAACTATTTTAAGAAAAAGGCACGGGTCAAGGATCGCATGTTGTAAAGGGCCAACATCATGGAACATGTGGTCGGAGATGACTTTTTGTAGACTTTTGAGCGATTGTTTTTTTCTCGAATGAATCAACATCTTCATTGGTTTTGACAGATTGGTGTGCGCGCCCATTTTGGCTTTGAGAGCACGGATGTCCAAAGATATGTGGGATTGGCATGTGCGCATCAGATGTGCCTGCACCAGATAAACTACGGTATAAATTTTCTGGCTGACAGAAAGTAGATGAAAAAAACAGTGGTTTCATTTTGTGGATTTCAATTTTCTTGCTTATTTTAGTTGCCTGGTAGTTTGCATGTTTCTGGTCATGTGTGTTTTCCATTAATGTCCGCTAACCACTAAGATCTATGAAAATATGATCAAACAAACATGTTCATTCATGGTTCGACCAACAGCTTTCTCTACAACATGGCAACCTTGGGCCTTTGAAGCAACATTCACATGGTTGAGTCATATTGAGTTTGTTCTTGAAATCTCACTTAATTGGCACAGGGGCTTTAGATGAGCGTGGGTAACCATTGTTTTCCTGGATGCCTATGTGAAGTCTTCCTCATGCTCTCTTCATGCTCATATTGTAAAGACAAGTGATGTTTTTAAAAAACCCGGGACCTAGGAGAAATGTAAACAGTGGTCCCGTTATAGCAAACCATGGCTGATTCATTGTAAAACGATAAAGAGTTAAAAAAAAAAAACGATAACACTCATGTAATACATGCAGTACAGTACATGAGAATAGAAGCATTGGAAATTCAAATGCCTTCAGTTCTTGAAGCAAATAGCTGTCAAATCCAGTTATTGATTTCAGGTGCATTCTTTTTGACAAGAGTGTTTCATGTCAAGGTTTTCGTGGAATACAAGCATTCAGGAGTGATTTCTTTTTTGGTTCCTTGAGCATCGCTGGGACATGGGTAGACATTTGCTGATCCATATGGGTAAGTATAGTTGCATGTACATGCATGGATTCTAATTCAGTGGATGTTAGGCCGACAGGTCAACAGCACCCATGTGAATCATTCTTGAGAATATGTTGTATTAAGTGTTTGAGTCCGTTAGGCCACCAAAATGGGTGAAGCGTTGGGGGTTCCAAAACGATAACAAAACGATAACAAAAACGATAACAAGAATACACGAAAAAGTCCTCGGGAAGACCATGTCCCACATGAGAAAGGGAAGCGCTGGCTTTCGTTTTGCAGCTTCTCAGGTTCGTCCACCAATAAGACTCCATCTAGGTACCGTTCGAGCCGGGAACCGGCGAACAGGTTGGGGCCCGAGGGGTGCTCACCGCTCCCCCCTCGTAAAGGGCAATAGACACAGAGACAGGGGGAGAGGAGAAAAAGATAGAAAAAGTGTAGAAAAAGTAGCTAGTTGATGTTTAATTCTTAATGATATTCCTGGTCAAATTCCTTCAGTTCCTGGCTTTCCTTGATGTTTGGAGTCTGTTTGAAGGACATTTTGAACAGTCAAATTTTCATTGAACATATGCACGCGCGCACACACATAACAGACACCGACTTTTTTGCAGTGGAGGCAGGGACATGTGTGGTTAGCTGGGAAACGACAAGAGACTGTATACTGAGTTCCAAACATTGAAAAACGATAAAGAGTTTAAAAAAACGATAAGGCTGAAAGTGGTCATACAAAATGTATAGGGTTTTTTTTAATACATCAAGTGTTGCTCACATCTAGTGTGTAAACAAATGTAAGGGAAGGGAGGGAGGAGGAAGGAAGGAAGGTAGGCAGACTCTTAGGACTTTTGCAGCCTACTGAGCCTACTGTATTTGTGCTGGGCATGCATCTTTGACAGGGGTTGAATTAGCACCTCACTAGGGACCAGACCCGAGTGCAGGTGGTGTCGGAAGGAACGTTTGCCACCTTGGCCTCAGCGGAGCAAAGAACTCGCTCGCAGCTTTGATGCTCTTGCCGTGGTGGAGGTTGAAGCCACTCCAACTACAGCAGCTACAGCTACGACAACTCAGGACCCTGGAAAATTGACAGCAAATCAACCCCTAGTCACGACGAATGGGAATGACATACTTACCTACAATCGGCTGGTTTGAGGAGTCAATGCACGCATATATATATATATATTATATATTCCATACATGGAGTGTTTGGGATGGTTAAGGGGTCCATGTTAGATCCAAAGGGTCAGCTGTGAACCTCGAGGAGGAGAAGAAAGCAGACACACACAGGGATAAAATTAATATTCTTTGCATTTATGAAATGACCAAGCAGGGCCAAACAGGGTGGTCAGGGCGGTCATTTCATTGAAGCTTCAGTTTTTGATTGTCAGAACATTCTCCAACGTAACGGTGGCATGTTCAACCTATAGTTTTAAAGTTTCAGTGAGAGCTTCTATGCTGGCCGCATCAAGTTATTAACAAAAACTGCTTGTGAGTTGAGCGCAAACCAAGGTTGATCTTGGACGGATCATTTTATAGGCAATCAATCAACATGAATCAACTAGTCAACACTGATGAGCCATTTGTAGAATTCAACAGTATTGGCACGCACACCAGCCACCTTTGAAGATGGCTCAAACATGGTGTATAAATGTGGATACAGGGATGGCAGGTCTTGGAACCATCAAATGGGCCAAATGTGCCACAAACACATGCCAAGAATCCAGGGCATCCAGTCATCCAGCGAGACTGGCTTTTAACTTGAACAGATGGTTTTCCTACACTACGGCTCAATTTGTAGAAGTCGATTAATCTTATCCCTTTGTCCTGTCCCTGTGGTGTTTTCAATTTTGCTTAAAAAGATGATGTGACATTGAATCAAGCCACACGTTGTGGTATCCTGCCCCAGCAATTTTATAAAAGTGTTTGCTTGTTGTGGTTTTAAAAGCTCAGCAGCTCATTTTATAGATACCTATTTGTTTGTGAAACTAATTCGCAGAAAAAATTGCAAGCAAGGGGTATAAATTAAATATTTGGTCCAAGAAAAAGGGCGTTTCTCCAGGATGGCCCAGCTTTAATATCAAGAGGAAATCTATGCTGGTTATCGTTTGTGCTTCGTGCACTCCTGTGGCAGGTGCACGTGCGCCCTGCAAAAGCCTCAGTGAAGGACGTCCACTCGCTGCGGCACTTCTTGCCCAAGAAGGCACTTTACTTACTACATCTCTCCGAAGCACACATGACCGAGGTCGATAGTTTCATTGAAGACCTACCTTTGGTATACTTAAAGACCTACCGTTTCAGGTCAATATGTCAGTCAAGATGGGTTAACTTCTACTGCTGTTGCTTTTTGACCTGCCATACGTCCATCGGTTCTTCAAGTGCAATGAGGTGGGCTCCCTTGTTCTGGCCCGTACACAAGTCAAACAAGACGTGGGGTGGAACCTGGTAGAACAGTTGGGGGGCTGATTTGGGATGGACATCGCAACCTAGCCGCACACTTGGTCGTTTGTCAGGGTTGCCTTAGAAAGAGAGAGAGAGAGAGAGCGCGCTAGATGTTGGCAGCGGCCATTCTTTGGCCAAAACTTACTGTAGAATCTGTAGATATATGTAGATGAAGGATCCATCCCCATCATGTGACCAACTGGTGTTTCACTGAACGTGTGGTTTTGCGAACTATCGGCTCGATCAACGTACGGGAGAAACGTGACATGGTTTGGCTCATGCTGCGGATGATTTGAGGACTGTGAGGACCCCAGTGGTTCGGTTCGGACCCTTGACCCGTTCGGTTCCGCTCATCGTGTGGCTCGGTTCCGCACAGGCGGATGAAGAGGAGAGCTCTCCAACCACAAGTGCAGCAGCTTGGGTTTATGCGGCCGGAAAGGGGTGGCAAAAAATGAAGTACTATCAAAAATTAAAAGGTCAACTTACCCATGAGGTCAAACATACATGACCTCACAAATAAGATCAAATATGATTGGACTATGCCCCACTCGTTTTCAATAAGGGATTCTAAGCACCAGCCCAGCACACAAAATCAGAATGTGTGCATCCACGCCCTGATGACCTACAGACTCTAAAGAAAAATACTTCGAGGTTGATTCAAATGCTGACCAAGTCACACCTCTTGACTTCTGCAGCACACTTGACTTCAAAAATGCCGCCTGTTTGGTATCATTAAACCCCCGGGCTCCAGAACGGTTTTGCATCTCCAGGCTTGGAGTGTTAGATTCAATGAATCCCACGCACTCCATCGCAGACTCCATGGGTCCATGTTAATATACATTGACCCCAGGTCAACCACCCCTGCCCTGATCGGGAGTCATATGCCAGTCAGTATGCCAGTCCCATTAGTCAGTCGTAGTCCGTTCGACGCGCGGGCCGACTCGGGAACAGCCGAACCGAGGCCTCCATGAGCCCGACCATGCGACCATTTGAAGACCGATGGGTTGGTGGGAAGATGAGAGCTGAGAGCTTTAGCTGAGAGTGCCACCCATGTTGGTCAAAACCCCGAGTCCCGACATAACAGGTCCATCCAGGTCCCGACATAACTCATCATAACTCGTATAGAGATGCATTTTGGAGATGCAGCCAGGTACAAACCTGTCAAGGCGAACACTCGTGGCTGACCATCGAGCTTTGGACCATGGTTCGAAGAACTCCAATCTCACGAGTGGGTTCTGCAGTCGGAAGACTTGTCCATTTTGCTCTCGAAACGGCCCAATTCAGAAGTCTATGGCGGGATTTGGGTGGAGAAACCCATAGAAAACGATGGCATTGAGCCGCCGCATCCTCCCCTGCCCTGTCAACATGGCCCCATCAGACTCAGACTCTGGGGATGGAGCGACAGGTTTGGACACTCAAGGCACCAGAGTTTTCTTCCCCAGGAGGGGGCACATGTAGAGGTACTCCTTATATGCAAGATTAGGTCATGATCTTGACCTGGTCTCTCTCCCTCCCTCTCTCTCTCTCTCTCTTTCTTTTTGTGCTGAGGGCGACCCACGACCAGCATCCCGCTTTGATCATCAGACGGGCAGAACAGCGTCGGTGTCCCCCATGTGGGCCCCTTGGTGGCTTTCACACCGTGGCACCACCCTTACCATGTGGTCCAGCATGGTCTAGAATGGCTTACAGTGGGATCAAAGTAGATATCGCAAGGGTCTCAAGTTGGGTGGTTTATATTATATATATTTTTTGTTGTTTAAATATATATATATATGTATATATATATATATATTGGACCCCATCTAAAAGATATCTTGGAGATTGTGCCATCTACTCTGAAACAGTCGTAGTTCTAGGAACGAGATTGGTTTGAGGGCGCCTTTGTGCATCCAGGAGGTGCCGGCACCTTTGGCACGTCAGCGGCCGGTAGCAGCAGCATGGTGGGCCCTGCTGAGCAGCTGCGCGCTTTGGATTGGCATGCGGAAAAGGGTGTTTGGCATGGGGGTCCCGCTGGCCAATAGATCCAGGCAATTCCCCATATTCTTCCACACAGCGTGAGAATCTTCTTCACCAGCAGGCGCTTGAGCTTTGGGTGACTGCTTGTTTGTATGTATTTTACATGTCATGATTCTGCTGGAGTCCTGGCATCGCTACTAGGAACAAAGGGCATCGCTACGAACGGAGCAGGGACGCTACTAGTGGCTTCTGGCATTACTACTGGTAACAAGAAGCTACTAGGGGCTCCTGGCATCGCTACTAGGAGCAAGGACGCTACTAGGGGCTCCTGGCCTTACTAGTAACAAGAAGCTACTAGTAGCAAGTCCTCATCTTCATGAGATGCTTTGATCGATCGACTTTCGCCACAAAAACGGGAGGCGCCCCCCCGACAGTCGTAACATGCCGAAGGCTCCGTTCCTCCACAAATCGCATGTATTGGTCATCCATGCGAGTCTGCAATACCCACAGGCCGACAGAGAACACTTCGAACCCGAGGCCTCAAACGAGGAACTTCTGATGAACCCGTCCACTGGTTGGGGCATCCTCGGAGACATGTTCGAGCAGTAGGAGATCCATGCAAAACCTGCTTTTGGGCATTTCATGTGGCCATGCATTTCTTAAACGTCGGAGGGTTAGTTATGTGTATCTGTATGTGTGCGTGTGTGTCGTGGCCTGACTGTAACGGGGAGAAAGCAAGTGCTGTACATACTGCAAGTGTACTGTTTTTTTTTTTAAAGATATGCATGACCTTTTCTTTTGTGGAATTAACCTGGGGTGTGAGCGTTAATGAAAGGCAGTCCTGAACTTGAACATTTGCTCTCACTCAACCTCTGGGAAGAAGTCAGCCTCCCTTGTCCCTGCAAGTGATAGCGTGGGTCACCAAGACAGGTGGAGGAGGGCACCTATCGCAACCTTCGTTCCGAGGTGGGCGCCTATCGCAAGAGCCCCGCGTGTGGGAACCCAAACGGAAACACCAGAAGTCTCAACGAGAACTGACATGGATGGTATGGCTAAGAGATGTTTTGAGCGAGGAAGCCTCAACCGCAGTGGCGTGGCTCATTTTGAGGGATTTGCCACGAGCTGGATTGGGTGGAGCATGGTGGAGCTTTGTAGCGGAGGGAAAGATGGTTGAAAGAGCTTGGTGTTCCTATTGGTAGCTATCGGGGGCTCAAAGTGGGACTGCCAATGCTTCAAGGCCGGAAGACAATGTTGGATTCGGTTGAAAAGGGTGACGGGTCGTGTTCCAAGCCATCACATGCCATCACAATGTTGAAGACATGTGATGCTTTGCATGCAACTATTTTAGGGTGTTCTCACATGATCCAATTGACCATTTGAGTGGCGTTCCAGAAGACAAACATCGCTTGGGTCAGAGATATTGAAACGTAATATGTCGATAACGTATAAACATTGCTGATACATTACTATTCAGATACTAGATATACCGAGATACGTTAAATCTGAATCCACCAATTCCATGAAGCGCACTTCGGATTGGGCGTTCTCCAAGGCAGCGGCCGAGTGCGGCCAGCGTCTCTTCCGCACCGTGCGGCGGGAGCGACTATCCTGGCTCGGTGGCACAGTGTTTGTGGATCGCAATACTCGAGAATAGATGAGTTGGGGAGCACTTCTTTGTGACACATATTGTTGATTGTGTCCTTGTTTTTGTGTCAGGGCACGCAGGGGTATTAGGACAAATGGGACCCTGAGTGGAAAGTGAGGAAGTGGCAGCCTAGCTGTGGACACTGGTTGCCAAATGCTTGCATTGTATGCACACTTGGCTTGAGCCTCAAGGGATCACATTCTTGATTACAATAAGGACAATTTAGTGAGCAATTCATGATGAACGTTGTGTCCAACATGGATTCCCTTTCAATATTCATTTGCAATTGGATGAGGTGAGGTTAATCTTTAAAAATCTTTATATACTTACTTTATTTATCCAATATATGAATCATTATATATATATATAGATTTTATTTCTTTTGCAAATGACATAAGAAGGAAACATATTCATAAAATAGTTTTGAGACTTTATTAAATATATAAACCATAAAAATACTTTACTTCAAGTGATCCCCATCATGACATGTCAATCATTTCTCTTCATGCCATGGTGAGGAGCATGTTGCCAGGGTCGTGAGTTTTGTGGTTCTCGAATTTGCTTGTGGGTCCTTGGGTTGTGTGTTGTGGTTGTGCGTTGTGGTTGTGTGTTGTGGTTGTGTGCTGTGGTTGTGTGTTGTGGTTGTGTGCTGTGGTTGTGCTGTGGTAGTGTGCTGTGGATGTGTCTTTTTTGGTTGTGTGTTGTGCTTGTGTTTGTAGTTGTGTTGTGGCGGATGTGCTTGTGGGTTCGTGATTGTGTTTGTGTTTGTGATTATGTGTTTGCAGCTGTGTTTGTGTTTGCGTGTTGGTTGAGGTCTGGCGGGGAACACTGCCATCCGAATCCATCCGAAAGATTACGAAAGCCAGCCTTCGTAGAAGGCGCCAGCTGAGTTGTGTTTGGCGAGCGAAGTGGGTAAGTAGGGGGTCGGGGGGGGGTGGCCCGAGAAAGCACTACGTAAGCTCGAAAATATATAGTGTTTAGGGGTGCACGGAAGCAAGGTTTTGGAGGTTGTGTTGGAGGTGATTTTTTGTGATCTTTGAGCGGCTGGTGATGTAAGAAATGCAATTTTCTTCACCTGTATCATCTGCATGTAGTTTTACCGAGGCCGATGTGTTGTAGCTTCGTGCAGCTGTAATGCATAACCTCTTACACACCTATATAAGTTCAAAGCACTAATGAGACTTTAAATCCGTGGATTGCTGCACGTTTCTCCAGGTTATCTAGCGGTTGACGGAAAGGGAAATTGAAGCGCCATACCTGGCAACTGAAATGTAGCGGTTGACGGAAAGGGAAATTGACATGCTAGACTTGGCAATTGAATTGTAGCTACCCTGGGTCGTACAAATGCTATTTTGCTATAGCTTTTACGAACCTTTTTAAGTTTAAAGCACGAATGAGATTTCAAAGTTGTGGATTGTTGCACGTTTCTAAAGGTTATCGAGCGGCTGACGGAAAAGGAACTTGAAGTGCTATACTTGGTAATTGAATTGTAGCTACCTTGGGTACGTGGATTGTTGCATGTTTGTCATGGTAGCGGTTGACGGAAAGGAACATTGAAGTGTTATATTTGGCAATTGCCTTGCCTTGTAATTGCCTTGGGTCCGCGCGCCGGGAGCCAGCAAGGCGCGTGCGCGGGCAGCTACCATTGCACTATGATGGTTTCTTTTCATAACGTACTCGTGGACAAAAAACGTTGGTTTTCGTTTTGCAACTTCTTAGGTTATATAAATATAAATTGGATTTATGTATGAAAGGAATTTATATAATTCATATATAATGGTATTTATATATAAAATATTTATGTTTTAATATAATTAATATTAAATGATAATAAAATATTTTATTTATTTTATATTCGATGATAATTATACATATATTATAAAAATTATTGTATTTATTTGAATATTTATATTTTTTTTATTTAATTATATTATTGTTTAATTTAAAAATTATTATATATATATTTAATAAATAATTGCAAAAATATATTATATTTTATATATATTTAAAAACAATATATTTAAAAATATATTAATTATGATATTTATATTAATATTATATATTGGTGGTTTAAACATATTATTTGTTAAAAATTATATTATAAAAAATTAAATATAGAATATTGGGATTTTGGAAAAGAATTTCTTTTATATTATATTAATATTTATTGTTTAATAAATAAATATTTTTATATTCCGAATGGAATGATTTTATTTTTTTTATGCCATATATTGCGCGATAGGAAAGATTTATTTTTCTCTTTAATACGGCCTATGGTGTTGTTCGTCTATTTCGTAGTAGTGTTAGGATATGTTTGTAGAATTCTTCGACGATTGTGAGATTGGTTGTTCCTTTGGTATTTTCTAATTTTGGTTGAAAAATAGAAAATATTATGTTTAAAGTTCGAGCTTGAAAATGAGATATTAATTCAATGGAAATAGAATGATTTCGATGATTTAGGATTGATTGTTTGAAATGTTTATTTGGCCATGTCCACAGCATAATTTTTAAACCTAGATTTTCCAGCACATTAGGTGGCACCATTTTAGCTGAAGTGGCGGGCGTCGTATACAGACAATCTTAAATTATGTTTTGTTATTCCCAAATTACTAGTGTTTTGTGCGGGGTACCCGCTTTTAGCAGATCTTCCCGCTGTGGCAATCCTACGGAACTTTGGATATGGAAAAAAAAATAGTTTTTGCTCTTCCTGGAAGATGATTTCTCTTGGGTTTTTGGTTTGGGTTCCGCTTTGGCTTTTGCCTTTCCCTTTGCCGTGGTCGTTGCATTCTCTGCATCATTGTTGGTTTTTCTTTTTTGCGGCACTTTCGAACGGGGTTTGTCGGATCTGTATTTCGGCTTTGTTTGGTTTCTTCTGGGGGTTGGGCGCATCTTTGGAGTCTTTTTGTTCGGGATTTCCCATTTGTAACGTTTCAACCTATTTTGAAGTTTCTTTTAATGTTTCATGAACGCGGGTTTGGCTGCAGGAATGCTCGGAGCACTGGTATTGACCATTTGCTTGACCCCCAGGCTCTTCCCCAGATTTTGTGGGGATGATGTGATTGCCTCTTCAGTGCGTTGGGCAATTCGATCTTTTTCCTCAGGTTTGGCCTCTAATATTTTGCTTTTTTGTGACCCGTTTCTTTAGCCTCAGCCTCAGGGTCATTGGTAGAGCTCTTCGTTCCCTTGGGCTCTGCGGGGCTTAAGGTCTCGATTTGGGCATTGTCCTCTTGTTCCTTAGTCTTTTGTTTTTTCTCTGCCCATTTTTCCTCGCCTTTGTTGGCTCACTATGTACGTAGTAAGCAATGCCGCTCTGGACTGACAAAATTTCTCTGCAAGATGTTTCTTTATCACCGCAGCGCTGCACAAACAAACGTTGCCCCACAATCTCTGCACTAGTCAATGGAAAGCTTGTTTTTTTTCGGCCTTTGCAATAGCCAGACATAGGTACCCAATAGCTTCTTCTGCGGACCCAATTCCGCTATAATCTGTGGTCATGTTGCAGGGATTCCAAAATATGTTTTTCTTTGAGGCAATCTAAAATGCGGATGGGCAAATGGTCGCTTTCCTCCAGTGGCCTTGGTCCTGGTCTGTAGGGCTACCCGCTGTGTAGTCTGCGGGGCTCCCCGCCCTATTCGTTGCCTCTTTGGCGCTGAGGGCATAGACAGCAATTAGGCCTAGGCGGCCCTACGCAGGGTACTTCGCTACTTGGCCTAGGGGATGGAAATTCATCAATGCCTTTTGGAGACATCAATCCTTGAAATTCTGGAAACGATTAAAAAAATTGAATTTATTGAATTCCAATGAAAATTGATTGAATTCAAGCAAATTTGATTAACAACAATATTTTCAAATTAATCAAAAATGGAAAATCTTTAATATATAGTAGTCCTAGTCCTATAAAATATATGGCTATAACAATTGTACCTAAGGACCCTATTTGACAAACATAATACGTAACACAATGAATTTTCAATCTTCCCTGGATTGGCCAGAGGGAGGTTGGCAAAAGGCAGCTACTACCACAACGCTGATGGAATGGTTGGAGGAATTGTTCAAAGGTGTTGATGTGCACGAAGCTGTCATTGCAAACGAAAGATTCAGGCTGATCCTTTTGGCAACATCAAACATGAATCGTGTTTTGCGGCTTCTTTACTATGGTGGTGCTTGGCTTCACAGGCTGGAAGCTACCGAGATTTCTTCGCTTGGGCTTACCTTCCTGCGTGCTTATGTCAAGGTTGCCAGGATCTGCCTTGCTACGAAAGAGTCTCGCTTCCCTATCCACAATAAATATCATATATTGTTCCACGCATTCCACCTCATGAAGTGTTGGGCAGCCAAAGCTGAGTGGCAAGAGAACCCTTTGGTAGATAGCTGCCAACAAGATGAGGCCTTTGTTGGCATATATTCGAGGCGTGTTTCGCCAAAGGCGACCATTGAAAGAATTCTATTTCACGAATTTGAAGAAGCACCTACGTGGAGAGGAATGAAAAAATCGACTTGTGTAATATGGCATACATATTATATAACTTTTTAAAAATATATGAAAATCATAAATCAGAGATATTCAAATTGAATATGTTTTATAAAGAATAATAATTTTTGCATGGTATCTTTCGCAAAAAAATTATCGAAATTATCGCGATTTGGGTTTTTGCACCTTTCACGGGGGATATATCAAGACAATTTAATAATAAACAACGAATTAATATAATATTTAAAATAAAATATATTCTTTAAAAATATATTGCATAAGCGCCATTTCCAGTTCAAGAGTTGCGGCCGCTTTTTGGGGCGGGGTGCCATGTTTCGTGTGGTCCCGTTTTTATGATGATGCCCTGGTCTTTCTCATTCATAGCTGCCGCCTTCTCACTGTTGACGACAGAACTGGAATTCCCGGTCCCAATTCCGGGGGGCATGAGAGCGGATGCAAAGCCATTTTACCCTGCCACCATGTCCGGCGCGAGGGTTGCTCAGAGTGCCTCAGCTCTGAGCGAGAGTGGAGGCCACCCTATGGTTTTACCTCCTTCTTCCACGAAGCTTCATGAGGTATGGGCTTTTGGTGGCTACGGCCAAGTCTCTGCCCGGCCGCGCATTTTACGCATCAAGCGCGCATACAGAAGAGCATGCTACAGGGCATTGCGCCATGGCATGGCTGAATACCGAGGTAAGTTGATGCTTCCAGCTGATGTCCCATGGAAGTTTCGAGAATCCTATCGACAGTTGCCGCCTGCACGCAAGGAGCTGAAGCCAGTATCCATTGCACCTGGCATACGATGCATGACGTGGAATGCCTCGAAAGCATTGGTCTACGCTGA